ACCAGGTAATTAGAAATGCCAGACAAAAATCTCTAGATCTAATTCTGTTGTTAGAAACAGATGAAAGCTAGGAGCTAAATGACAGCTTAAACCTAGGTTATGGGCACAACAATGGAATGTCTAGGCACTTTTTTTTTTTTTACAACAAGAATACAAAGCTGAAAATGAATGAACAGCAACTAAAATATTATGTCCATTTTTCACATGGTCTAGTCCAGGCATGTCCAACTCCCAAGAGACTGCAATCTACTCCCAATATAAAAATACTGGCAGGGATCTCCCCATTGTCATTGGAGGATGAACCAAAGCGACAGAGCGGAGGCATTCATTCCAGTTTTAAGTAATGCAAGCGATAAGGGTCCCGCGATCGACTGCGATCAGCAGGGGATCTACCTGTTGATTGTGGTCGACCTGTTGGACATGTCTGGTCTAGTCTTTCCCCTGCCCACTCCCCTAATATTCTTAAGTCTTCTCCAGTCTTCAGAGAGCAGATGGAAGTGGGGAGGCAGAAAAAGGTCCGCCTTTCCTTCCACTCTGCAGTTTTAACCTGAAATCTTAGGCACAGAGCTCAGAAACTGCTCGCACTAATGAAATTCCCTGTTGCAAAATGCCCTTAGAACAATGGGAATTTTGAACACTGCTCCCCACCCCATTTTCATTGTATGTAAAGCAATCAATCAAGAACTGTGAAACAGTATGTATGGGTATGTAGATATGTGTGTAATATAAATGTAACGAGCAAGAAAAGCCGGTTTAGACTTTTTATTAGTTAATTTATAGTTAACATTTTAAAACAAGTTATAAAAGCTACTAATGCATTATTAGAGTTATGATCTGGAAATTCCTGGGCTTATAAATAAATTTAGCTGTCTGTCTTTTAGAAATAGATTCCTCATTCTCTTCTTTAACTACAAACTAGTATAATCCACCTTGAGTCCAAAATTCAAGTGAATGAATACAAGAGACATATACTTACAGGACTTTCCATTTTTTGCTTCACCAATAAAATTGTCCTGCGGCTTTTGCTTGATAAGCTGTTAGGGGACCAAAAAAACAAGAGCTGAGCACCAGGATCGCTTAACAAGAGGGCATTCCCAAAGCTTTGACACCACAACTGAAAAAAAGCCTTATCCTGCAGACCCACACCACAGACATAGCTGTAAACTATGTACACTGTCCTGTCCTAAGCATCGCGTTCATCCATTTCTATGAGCCTAGGAGGAGCACGGGAGCTGAGCCTCTGCCAACTGATCTAAAGAGGGAAAGGAGGGTCCTCCGCACAGAGGAGGGCAGCAGTTTAGAGGCTGGTCGGAGCTATGGGAACACGGCAAGCAAAGGAGATCCTGACATCTTGCAAGTCTGAGCCCCACATCCTGGCTGTCATAGCACCGGAGACTGACGCGTTTTCAAAGAGAGAATAAAGAGTAGCCTTATGTCTCTGCGGATTTTATCATGAATATGGGGATGCCGCAGGGGTCCGTGTTGAGCCTGCGTTTATATACGTTCTATACAGCTGACTGTGCCCCCAAATACCCCAGTAATAAGATCATTAAGTTTGCAGATGATACAACGGTGGTTGGTTTAATCACGGCTGGAGAGGGGGAGGACCTTGTTGATGGCATTTTACCATTGTACTGTGGAGAGTGTATTAACTTATGGTCTCTGTGTGTGGTTTGGGAGCTGCACGGCCAGGGAAAAAACAATGCTGTCCAGGGTTGTAAAGACTGCAGAGAGAATAACTGGGTGCACTCTTCCCACCTTAGATCAAATCTATGCTGTCAGGTGCCATAAGAAAGCTGCAGAGATAGCGCAGAATAGTACACACCCCAGAAACGATCTCTTTCAGCTTCTGCCTTCTGGAAGAAGGTATAGGTTTATAAAGACCAGGACTAGCTGCCTGAGAAACAGTTTCTACGCAAATGCAATTCTGGTTTTAAACGCATCATAAGGAGTCTCTATAGTATACTGTATTTTAAAATAGGGTTTCAGAGTTTTTAGGGGGTTTTGAATGTTTTATGTAGATTTTCAATTTCATTGTTCCTTATGGGACAATGACAATAAAGATATTGTATCGTTGTGAACCGCCCTGAGATCTACGGACGAAGGGCGGTATAGATATGCAGATGACACAACCTTGATGGCAGAAAGTGAGGAGGAATTAAGGAACCCTTTAATGAGGGTGAAAGAGGAGAGCGCAAAATATGGTCTGAAGCTCAACATAAAAAAAAACGAAGATCATGGCCACTGGTCCCATCAAATCCTGGCAAATAGAAGGGGAAGAAATGGAGGCAGTGAGAGATTTTACTTTCTTGGGCTCCATGATCACTGCAGATGGTGACAGCAGCCACGAAATTAAAAGACGCCTGCTTCTTGGGAGAAAAGCAATGACATAACTAGACAGCATCTTAAAAAGCAGAGGCATCACCTTGCCAACAAAGGTCCGTATAGTTAAAGCTATAGTGTAGTGATGTATGGAAGTGAGAATTGGACCATAAAGAAGGCTGATCGCCGAAGAATGGATGCTTTTGAATTATGGTGTGGAGGAGACTCTTGAGAGTCCCATGGACTGCAAGAAGATCAAACCTGTCCATTCTGAAGAAAATCAGCCCTGAGTGCTCACTGGAAGGACAGATCCTGAAGCTGAGGCTCCAATACTTTGGCCACCTCATGAGAAGAGAAGACTCCCTGGAAAAGACCCTGATGTTGGGAAAGATGGAGGGCGCAAGGAGAAGGGGACGACAGAGGACGAGATGGTTGGACAGTGTTCTCAAAGCTACCAGCATGAGTTTGACCAAACTGCGGGAGGCAGTGGAAGACAAAAGTGCCTGGCGTGCTCTGGTCCATGGGGTCACGAAGAGTCGGACACGACTAAACAACAACAACAATGTTGTTGATGATGATAATAAAATAAAATAATAATTATAATTATAATATGGGGAACACCCGCCCAAGCGACAACGGTCTGCCTGAATGCATGGCCCCGGGCCAAAGGGACCCTGTTTGTGGAGGAACCACAGACGACTCGTCATCACCACCCCTCCCTGAGCGGCTGGGGAAAATTATTATTATTATTAAATAAGCTTGCGTTATCGCGCTCACCTGCGTGAGGAGCTCGACCGGACTTCGTCTCCGCAACTGCCACTCTCCTTCGCGGCGGCTCGCAACTTCGGTTTAAATCACGCGCGAGGCGAAACGGTCTTCCGGAACGCGATTGGCCTGAGAGCTTGAAATCGTCCAATTAGAATGAACGCGCGTGGGGAGGGGGAGATGCGGTGCTATTGGCTGCTGGGGTACGGCCGAGTCCGCCCACAGTACCGCCCCCTCACTTCCATATATGGGGCGAGAGCTGTTGCTCCAGGCCGGTTTCTGCTTCAAACGAGGAAAGTGCGCATGAGCGGGAAGGGCAAATACTTTTCAACGGTCCATTCAGGTTCCTAGCGTGGGAAGAGGGGAACGCATGCATGCAAATACTTCCCAGGAAAGGAGGGTTGGGTGTATGGAGGGAATTTTTTATTATTATTGTTTCGTCCAAGAGCGCATATATGCATGTGTGTAATTTAAATGTTGGTGTTAATTGCATTCATTGTGCATGGAATTGTCTCTTGAGCTGCCCTTCCTCTTCATCTGACTAAATAATTATATATATATATATATATATTTTAATACGGCCAGAGCTGGGCTCAGGGCGGCTAACACCAGTAAAATTACAATTAAAAAACAACAACCAATTTAAAATACAGGTTAAAATATAATTGAAAATGCAGCCTCATTTTAATAATAATAATAATAATAATTTATACCCCGCCCTCCCCAGCCAAGGCTGGGCTCAGGGCAGCTAACAAGCAATAATAAAAACAAGTTGAATGAATACAACTTAAAAACAAAATTAAAATACAACATTAAAATATTAAAATGTAGTAGATTTAGGTAGTTAGAAATGTAATGCAGCAGTATCCCCTGACTTCATGTTTGGAGTGAATCATCTGGTCACTTGAGGCAACAAAAGGCTTTGCTTTGAACTGTGGGCGGGCAAAGAGATGGATGTTGTTGTTGTTGTTGTTTAGTCGTTTAGTCATGTCCAACTCTCCGTGACCCCATGGACCAGAGCACGCCAGGCACCCCTGTCTTCCACTGCCTCCCGCAGTTTGGTCAGACTCATGTTTGTAGCTTCGAGGACACTGTCCAACCATCTCGTCCTCTGTCGTCCCCTTCTCCTTGTGCCCTCCATCTTTCCCAGCATCAGTGACTTCTCCAGGGAGTCTTCTCTTCTCAGGAGGTGGCCAAAGTATTGGGGCCTCAGCTTCACGATCTGTCCTTCCAATGAGCACTCAGGGCTGATTTCCTTAAGAATGGATGCGTTTGATCTTCTTGCAGTCCATGGGACTCTCAAGAGTCTCCTCCAGCACCAGAATTCAGAACCATCAATTCTTCGGCGATCAGCTTTCTTTATGGTCCAGCTCTCACTTCCATACATCACTACTGGGAAAACCATAGCTTTAACTATACGGACTTTTGTTGGCAAGGTGATGTCTCTGCTTTTTAAGATGCTGTCTAGGTTTGTCATTGTTTTTCTCCAAAGAAGCAGGCATCTTTTAATTTCGTGGCTGCTGCCACCATCTGCAGTGATCATGGAGCCCAAGAAAATAAAATCTCTCACTGCCTCCATTTCTTCCCCTTCAATTTGCCAGGAGGTGATGGGCCCAGTGGCCATGATCTTCGTTCGAGATGGATGTTACTGTTGTTGATTACATTTGTATACATGGATCATAAATACAAACCGTCTCTGAAAACACAAAATACATAAGAAGACAAGAGCAAAAGCAAACGTAACCCGCCCGCCCGGTTTAATAGGTTATAGATGGTTTAATTAGTCAAGGGGCTGGGAGATGGCGAATACTTTTGATTGATCGTGGAGGCGGGATGCGCGCGCGCCGTTCCCCCTCCTCCTCCTCCTCCTCCGCCCGCCCCAAGGCGGCCTCCTCGTCGCCGCTTCGCCCATTTCCCCGCCTCCCGCTCCCCTTCCGAAACGGGGAGGTGCCGGAGGGCGGCTCCGCCATCCCCGCCGCCTGCCTTCTTGCCGAGGGAGGGAGGCCTAAGCGCCATGGACCGCTTCGGCTGGACCAGCGGCCTCCTGGAGATCCACGAGAACCTGGTGACGCAGCAGCGCGGCGTCCGCCTCTACGACGGCGAGGAGAAGGTCGGGGGAGCTGGCCGGGGCGCGGGGCAGGCGGGCCTGGGCTAGGCAGGCAAGGCAGGGGCGCAGGCTGGAGGAAGCAGGCAGAGCTTTCCTCCTTTAGAGAGGTCCTGATTGCCCTGAGGAGGATTTTTAAAAAGGAAAAAACCTCCCGCAGAAAACTGAGGGAAGGCGCTCTGCATCTAGAAAGCTAGGGTGTCAAGGGGGAGATAGGCTGCTGCTGCTGCTGCCCCCCCTCTCCGCTCCGTTTTCTACATGCAGGGAGTATTTTGCTCGGTAGTTCAAACCCCGCCACCTGCCAGGCACTATGAAATACCCCCAACAGCACTCTGTGGGGCTTTGGCTGATTTCTCTTACCTGTCGCAGGTATTGGAACTGTAGATCATCCCTAGGCAAGGTGTCCAGAAGTATAGTTTTGTTTTTTCCCAATTTTTTAAATTGATTTTCACAAAATTATAGACAAACAAGTAAACAAGCATAAATCATAACCTTATTAAAATTACAGGTAGGTAGCCGTGTTGGTCTGCCATAGTCAAAACAAAAAAAATTCCTTCCAGTAGCACCTTAAAGACCAACTAAGAAGTGTGCATGCACACGAAAGCTCATACCAAGAACTAACTTAGTTGGTCTTTAAGGTGCTACTGGAAGGAATTTTGTTCTTATTAAAATTAACATTGTTAAGTGACTTCCTCGCTTCCCCTTGGTTGAATTTCAATGCATATCCTTTTAACGGTTTTCCAAATCATCGTTCTTATAAATTTAACTTGAATCTTTTCATTTTGACATTAAACATATTAATTCATCACTTAACTTATATAAAATCCCAAGCCAATAAATATCTGCAAGCTATTTCCAATTAGTCAGAAGTATAGTTTTGGATTGAATGGAGCTTTGTAGTATCAGGAAGCATCAAGCAAGGTAGTGAATTTGTTGCAAGAAGGGTGCGGATTGTGGTTCTCTCTCCCATTACAGTACTCATTTCAGTGTCTTCCTCTACATTCCAGCTTTGTTTTTGAGTCGGAGGTTATCAATACAACACCTTTTTAAAGTTTTCATGCCTGCATCTTAAGTAGGTTAGGCTTGCTAAAATATCTGGATTTTTCTGTAGCCTTCATACACAGATCACATGTTGAGTTTTTTGTTTTCTTGTATTATTACGCTGTAGGGGACGCGGGTGGCGCTGTGGGTAAAAGCCTCAGCGCCTAGGGCTTGCTGATCGAAAGGTCGGCGGTTCGAATCCCCGCGGCGGGGTGCGCTCCCGTTGTTCGGTCCCAGCGCCTGCCAACCTAGCAGTTCGAAAGCACGTCAAAGTGCAAGTAGATAAATAGGTACCGCTTACTAGCGGGAAGGTAAACGGTGTTTCCGTGTGCGGCTCTGGCTCGCCAGAGCAGCGATGTCACGCTGGCCACGTGACCCGGAAGTGTCTCCGGACACCGCTGGCCCCCGGCCTCTTGAGTGAGATGGGCGCACAACCCCAGAGTCTGTCCCGTACGGGCAGGGGTACCTTTACCTTTTTATTATTACGCTGTAATAGCATCTCACCTTTGAAATCAGAATAAATGAAGAAAATCACACTGAAACAGTGTCAGAGCAAAGCAAGTCATTCATATCCTTTGCATAGTGCATTTGGTGGTAGATAGCCCTGTTTGGAGCAGGCTGTGAGGTCATCCTTGCCTGCCTGCCTCACTCTCCTGTTCCTTTCCCCAGGGCAGTTTGTGCCTCTGGTTTAGAGAAAGCTTAGTCAATTGACTTAAATCCAAAGTCAGGCAATGAAGGAGCAATGCAAGTGCACAAGGTTTCATCACCACACACTGCAAGTGTAACAACTGCACCAAGAAGCCTGCTCTAATCTACAAAAAGTCTGCCTCATTTTATTATGGATTTCACAGTATCTGTGGTTCATATGCATTGAAGCTACTTCATTCTAATTCATACCGGTCTTTGCTGTCTGGTATTCCTGGGAAATAGTACTTGAATGTCTTAAATGTCTAAAGAAGCACCTCTCATTTTGGTACAGGAAGTGACAGATTATAGGTGGGGACCTGAATTTCAAGATTTCAAAGGCGGAAGCACCCAAGAACCTGTTGCTCATGCTTGCTTCAACCAGTGCTGCCTACCTGCACAATCTAGAAGGAGCCGAAGCAAAAGTTGATAATTGAAATTTCAAATGGAGAAGGGCCATGGTTCAGTGGTAGAGCAATCTGCATTGCATACAGAAGGCTCTAAGCCTGATCCCTGATATCTGCTGGTAGCCCCTGAAAAGCTGCCGGTCAGTGCTGACATGGTATAAGGCATTTTCCTGTATTCCTAAGCTTTGGTTTAGCATAAGAACACTTGGAAAATTTATCTCTCCCTGTGTGCCCACCAAAACTGCTCTAGAAGTTCATCCAGCCCTCCAGATTTGAGGGGGGAGTAGAGGGAGAAGCCCCGCTGTAAGAACATATGCCCTGCTCACTCAAGGTGTTTAGTAGTATCCAGCAAGTACTCTGCATGATTTTTAAATTATGTATTGGGCAAAAACTGGATGAGACATAGATGAACTGAAATATATCTTCCTTACCCAGGTAAAGTTTGATACGGGCATATTGCTTCTGAGTACGCACAGATTGATCTGGAGAGATCAGAAAAATCATGTAAGTTTCAGCACTCTGGTATGTCTATAATTTCCATATAATATGCAAAATAACAGTAAAGTTAATTTGCCTGTGATGGTTGTGTGAGCAAACTGTCTCCCCTAAACAAACCATGTGCCGTAAGAACACACATTGGAACACGCCCTGGTTATGGCCTGTGGTATGTTTTGGAGCAAGACATAGCACAAATCTGGGCTCAGACATAGTGCTAAGCCCAAACATTGGCTATATTCCCTTTGCTGTCTCTGCAGCAGAACCTGGGGGTGAGCGAAGTGGCTGCTATTACTAAATGTGAACCAACACACTTGCCTGCTCATGCTAAACCATAATTTGACTTGGCATTACATGTAAAGCAACTCAATTTAGGGTTTAGACAACATGCTGCATTCTGATTAATCAAAAATGAAAGCGAAAATTTCTGATCTCCTTGCAGCCTCTCTAAAGGAGAAGGGAGGGTTTGGGGTGTGTACAAGCCCAAGGGGAGGTTTATTATTGTTTTCAGCATGGCGACTGGTTAGGTGTGTGGGACATGATTTAGAGAATTGTGAGTTAGCAGCCTTGCCTCTTCACAGGGTTTTACTGTCTTTAGCCAATCTCCTACTACTATAACTATAATTCAAACAAAAACAAAAACCCCTCCGTTTAAAAGGCCATAGATTAATTTTATTCTTTGCTAATTAAACAATTGGTTTCAAGAATAAAAATTCACGAGGATTACAATTTTGGAAATGATGAAATAAAATAGATCTATGTAATCTGAGGTACAGAGATTTAAACCGGAGATGTTAATAAGCCCAAAATGTTTACAGTTGCAGCACCAAAAACAGTAAAAAGCAGTTTATACTTGCAGGATAGCTTAGGCAAAAAAATGGGTCATTTTGAGCAATGTGTTGCTGTTGTTACCGTATTTTTCGCCCTATAGGGCGCACCGCCCCATAGGACGCACCTAGTTTTTTTTGGGGGGGGAATAAAGAAAAAATTTTATTTCCCCCCCAGGCATGGGGCTGGCGTGGGGGAAGCCCAAGCTTCCTCCGACCCCAGCCCCCAGAACAGCCTGCTAACCACAAGCCTAGGGAGCCCGGCGCGGAGTCGCGCCGGGCTCCCCAGGCTTGCGCAGAGCCGCGCGAAGCCGGGGGCTGCAGGCAGCTCTGTGCAGCGCTCCGGAGCCCGGCGCGACTTCGTGCCCGGCTCCAGAGGGCTGCGCAGAGCTGCACAAAGCCCGGGGCTGCAGGCAGCTCTGCGCAGCGCTCCAGAGCCCGGCGCGACCTCGCGCCGGGCTCCCGAGGGCTGCGCAGAGCATCCTGAAGCCTGGAGAGCGAGAGGGGTCGGTGCGCACCAACCCCTCTCGCTTTCCAGGCTTCAGCGAAAGCCTGCATTCGCCCCATAGGACGTACACACATTTCCCCTCCATTTTTGGAGGGGAAAAGTGCGTCCTATAGGGCGAAAAATACGGTATTTCATATCCATGGGAGCTTTTTTCTCCACACACCTGTGTATGAGAGTAGCAAGAATGGTCTAGAATGGCAAGAATCCTACACATGAAATGCTTCAGTGCAGAACTTAGTGCAAAAACAATGTTGTGATTCCACAGTCTTAAAATAAGAGCAGGATTCAATTAAAATGTCTTTGTTTTTATTCTCTCTATTGCTACTTTTAGGAATGTTGTATGGCTATTCCTCTTTCCCAAATTATCTTCATTGAAGAACAAGCAGCCGGGATAGGAAAAAGGTAGTACTGTGAGTTTGTAGCAAAATCTGTTATGTTGGGGACAGTCGCTTCCCTGGGTTATTTGGAATATTCAGTATTTCACAAGCATCCAATCCATAATGCATCCTTATTTTCCTTTCTCAGAACTTTATTCAAGGATAAGTGGGGTTCTCAGCAGTGGCGCCCTCCCTGTGGAATACAGGGCTGCCTTCAGATGTCTATGGAAAGTCATATAATTGTTTATCTTCTTGCCATCTGATGGGAGAGCATTCCACATGGCAGGCACTACTACCGAGAAGGCCCTTGGCCTGGTTCCCTGTAACTTCACTTCTCTCAATTAGGGAACCGCTAGAAGGACCTTGGAGCTGGACCTCAGTGTCTGGCTGAACAATGTGGGTGGAGACGCTGCTGTTCTAATTTGTTCTACGATACATGTAACCCACCCTGGGTCTGCTTGTGAAGCGTAGACATATACCGTATTTTTTGCCCTATAGGATGCACTTTCCCCCCTCCAAAAATGAAGGGGAAATGTGTGTGCGTCCTATGGGGCAAATGCAGGCTTTCCCTGGAGCCTGGAGAGCGAAAGGCGTCGGTGCGCACCGACCCCTCTCGCTCTCCAGGCTTCAGGAAGCTATCCGCAAGCCTTGGGAGCCCGCGGGAGTGCCCGCCGGGCTCCCAAGGCTTGCGGGCAGCAGCCTGCAGCCCGAAGCACGGGGCTCGCTGCAGAGCACGCCCCGTGCTTCGGGCAGATGTCCGCAAGCCTTGCGCGCCTGGCGGGAGGTCCCACGGGCTCGCAAGGGTTGTGGGTGGCAGCCTGTTCTGGGGGCTGGGGTCGGGGGAAGCTCGGCTGGTGGGGGGGGGAAATAAATTTTTTTAAAAAAATTCCCCCCCAAAAAACTAGGTGCGTCCTATGGGCCGGTGCGCCCTATAGGACGAAAAATACGGTAAGTTGAATTGATCAGCCTGTTGCTGTAGCCTCTAGTAGTGCTGGCTACATAGTCCAGAGAGCTTGGCATGTTTATCTTCCATGAGCATTGCAGCTTTTCCACTAGCAGCCATCTAGGTAAAGGTAAAGGGACCCCTGACCATTAGGTCCAGTGACGGACAACTCTGGGGTTGTGCACTCATCTCGCTTTACTGGCCGAGGGAGCCGGCGTTTGTCCGCAGACAGTTTTTCCGGGTCATGTGGCCAGCATGACTAAGCCGCTTCTGGCAAACTAGAGCAGCTCACAGAAACATCGTTTACCTTCCCACCGGAGCAGTACCTATTTATCTACTTGCACTTTGACATGCTTTCGAACTGCTAGGTAGGCAGGAGCAGGGACCGAGCAATGGGAGCTCACCTCGTCGCAGGGATTCGAACTGCCGACCTTCTGATCGGCAAGCCCTAGGCTCTGTGGTTTAGACCACAGCACCACCCGCATCCCACTGGCCATCAAAGCATCTTGTAAAAAATACTATCATTTACCTATGCACAGTGTGAAAAGCAGTGACAGTGCGCAACTGCTGCACTGCCCTCCGAGTTGTGATGGTACAGTCATACCTCGGGTTGAAGTAGCTTTGGGATGAATATTTTCGGGTTGCGCTCTGTGGTGACCCAGAAGTAATGGAGCGTGTTACTTCCGGGTTTCACCGCTTGCGCAGACACTCAAAATGACGTCATGCGCCGAAGCAGTGAAACACCGCACGCGCAGTCACATGTTACGTTCACTTCAGGATGTGAACGGGGCTCTGGAACGGATCCTGTTCGCATCGAGAGGTACCACTGTACTGCTGCTTGTTGGAACCAGGTAGGGCAGGGCAGAGGAAGAACTCGCTCGGTGGCAGCAGCGGGTACGGCTACATGCACACCTTTGCCCCACTGCCATCCCAGCACTTCTATCATCAGCGCCATACCCCTCTCCATCCCTGTCCCATAAGGTAGGAGGGTTGCCACTGGCAGAAGCTGCTGCGCTTAACCTCATGGGTATGTTTAGCCTGGTGAAGAGGAGACTGAGAGACGATACGATAGCAATGTTCAAATATCTAAAGGGCTGCCATATGGAGGATTGGAGGAAGCTTCAGAGGCTAGGACCCAAACCAATGAATTCAAGTTATAAGAAAGGAGATTCTGACTAAACATCAGAGCTGTTTGATAGTGGAATGGACTCCCACGAGAGGCGATGGACTTCCTTGGCTATCTGCCATGTATGCTTAAATTGGGATTCCTTGCATTGTAGGGGGTTGGACTAGATCAGTGTTCCCCAACCTTGGGCCTCCAGCTGTTTTTGGACTACAACTCCCATCATCCCTCGCTAGCAAGACCAGTGGTCAAGGATGATGGGAATTGTAGTGCAAAAACAGCTGGAGGCCCAAGGTTGGGGAACACTGGACTAGATGACCCTAAGGGTCCCTTCCAACTCTGCAATTCTATAAGTTCCTTTTTGTCTGCCTTGAATCTTGTGTTATAGAGAGAGAGATATGAAATATTCTGAAAACTATTTGATGTTTAAAATTCTTAACAACTGAATGAATTCTTGAAAATTTATAAGCAACATGTTATATTACATTCCATTGGCAATATTTTTAGCCTGTGATAAAAGACTATACAAAACTTTAAAGATCTACATTTGTTAATATTTAGGAAGCGGCCTTGCCTTTTTATAACTACAGGGCACATACTGATTTTCTCTCTTCCTCTTCCCATCTCTTCAGTGCGAAAATAGTGGTTCATCTTCATCCAGTACCTTCCAACAAGGAGCCTGGCCCTTTCCAGAGTAGTAAATACTCGTATATCAAACTTTCTTTCAAAGAACATGGACAGATTGAGGTATATATGTATTTTTAGCCTGATGGGGGTGAGGTGATATTGGGATAGGTTTTATAAATTTCATGTGTGTAAAGATAAAGCCTGGGAACTCTCAGCATGGTTAAAATGAAAGTTTTGCAAGACTTAAATGGGTAAAAATAAATAAATCATACGGGTATTACTGTTTATTACTATTGTGTCTTGCTCGTAACATGCTGGTATGGACTGCTAAACTTTTGAGATCTGTAAAGATAAGTGATGCAGTAAAACTCAGTCCGTTACATATTTGTAGCTTTGAGAAATTACTTTTATGAAATTGCTTTTATTTATAAAATACTAAATATATTCAAATCAATTACAGTGCAGCCTTGGAATTAACCTCCTTCCTTTCCTCCTTTCTTTTTTAAACCTCTGCACAGTTCTACAGAAGGCTATCGGAAGAAATGACTCAGCGGAGGTGGGAGAACATGCCGGCTTCTCAGACCATTGATGTTACCAGAGGCTCGCAGGTGTTTATACAGTTTCTGATTATTGGACCTCTGCTTTCAAATAAGCATTTCAATAAGTATCCTTTTTGCTTTACACAGATTTTTTTAATGTAACACTCTCCCCCCACCCCACAATGTTAATTGAAATTGGCTATTATTGACAGGTAATGTAATTTGAAAACATGAAGCTGATTATACAGTTGCGTTTAGACATAGCACTAAATGAGGTACACTAAATGTGCACTGACCTGCACAGCCTCCCGACGCCCTCACAGTCGTGAGAATACCCGACAGAGCCTGTCTCAGGCCACAGAATATTTAGGGGGCCTGACCCCTCCTTGAAATTTTTTGGGGGGGCCTTGCACTCCCCTGGCTGGCGCCCCTGGTTGTTTCTAAATACACCCCATGTCCCTGATCTCACAGATAAGGCAGGCACAGACTTTACTTGTGTTCAAAAGGAGGGAACTCTAAGCACGTCCTTCATAACCCTTTTGTTGTATTTTTTTTCAGACTGGGAGAATAAGAGCTGCAGGAATTGTAGGTATTGAGAGAAAATTAGAAGAAAGAAGAAAAGAGATGGATAAGAACATTTCCGAGGTGAGTAATATTGGAATTTCAGATTTTTTTGGGTAACTCTTTGAGTCATTGGAAGCTGCTGATAGGGAGAGTCTGTAAATATATTTGGATCACAGTCATTGTGTTTGGGAGCCAGATGTGTTATATATTTAAATATATATATAATTTTTAAATAGGACCGGTGCTTACGGGTTTTTGCAAAGGATGTATCCCCCCTCTACAAATGCATTTATTGCACTTTTTACGTGGCTCTTGCACAAGATATAGGTGCCTTATCATGAAGTGAATGCTTCTTTTGTGGAAAAATTCTTTTCCTCCAGTGCTTGCATTGCATAATTTGTTATTTGGGAAAGTTAGTTTAAGTTGTCTGTTGCTTCAGTTTTCTGTGTGCTGCTTAGGGATAGTTTTAATAAATTAAGCGGTATAGAAATTATATGGTCGAGTAATCAAAAAGCCACTCCTCCTCTAGCCAGTGCATCAGTTGCAATAGTGAGAGCTGTGTGCAACATGCCTGTATAACCATCACATATACCGTATTTTTTGCCCTATTGGACGCACTTTCCCCCCTCCATAAATGAAGGGGAAATGTGTGTGCATCCTATGGGGCGAATGCAGGCTTTCGCTGAAGCCTGGAGAGCGAGAGGCGTCGGTGCGCACCGACCCCTCACCCTCTCCAGGCTTCAGGAAGCTATCCGCAAGCCTTGGGAGCCCGGCGGGAGTGCACCCCGTGCTTCGCGCAGATGTCCGCAATCCTTGCAAGCCCAGCGGGAGTTCCCACCAGGCTCACAAGGCTTGCGGATAGCAGCTTGTTCGGGGGGGGGGGACAAATTTTTATTTATTTATTCCCCCCCCCCAAAAAAAAAACAAGGTGCGCCCTATGGGCCAGTGCGCCCTATAGGGCGAAAAATACGGTAAATGCCTGTGGTGTAACTGTGTGTCTTTCACACCACCTTAAAATGTTCTATATTTTAGAGCAGAGCTTTCCAAATTTTTCATGTTGGTTGACTCACTTTATAGACATTCATCATTTCACAACACAGTAATTTAGTTTTGGGACGCGGGTGGCGCTGTGGGTTAAACCACAGAGCCTAGGACTTGCTGATCAGAAGGTCGGCGGTTCGAATCCCCACGACGGGGTGAGCTCCCATTGCTTGGTCCCTGCTCCTGCCAACCTAGCAGTTCGAAAGCACGTCAAAGTGCAAGTAGATAAATAGGTACCGCTCCGGCGGGAAGGTAAACGGCGTTTCCATGCGCCGCTCTGGTTCGCCAGAAGCGGCTTAGTCATGCTGGCCACATGACCTGGAAGCTGTACGCCAGCTCCCTCGGCCAATAAAGCGAGATGAGCGCTGCAACCCCAGAGTCAGCCACGACTGGACCTAATGGTCAGGGGTCCCTTTACCTTTAATTTAGTTTTACTAATCCCTTTCCATCCCCAGAAGGAATGCAAGGAGCGCTCGTGCAACACACCCACACACTGCGCCTTCCAGCCTCGGCATTACAGGGCATATTTCCAGTGTTAATTTTTATAAAGAGTCAAACCTATATAGCAGACATAGGCAAACTTGGCCTCCAGATAAATGATTACCTGACATTCAGAAGACATCTGCAGGGAAACTTCAGGGAAGTTTTTAATATGTAACGCTGTACTGTTTTTAACACTGATTGGGAGCCGCCCAGAGTGGCTGGGGAAACTCAGCCAGATGGGCGGGGTATAAATAATAAATTATTATTATTATTATTATTATTATTATTATTATTATTATTATTATTATATTTTGAGACTACAGTTCCCATCATCACTGACCGCTGGTCCTGTTAGCTAGGGATGATGGCAGTTGTAGTCCCAAAACATCTGGACGGCTGAGTTTGCCTATGCCTGCTATATAGCAATCCTTTCCTCCTCCATTGCTTTGGACAAAGGTATTGCCATGATATCACTGGATCAGGCCTGGCTGACTCAAAACATTGTACACAGAGAAAAAATGCAGGCTTTTCCAATTGTCCGAAGAGACCCAAAAGCATTTTCTAAGGGTTAGAAAAACAAAGAGCCGTTTAAGGGCATATGAATGCAGCCTAGCTAGTGGCAAGGGGCAGAAGGAAGAAGGGGGATTGGGAATTCTATAAACATGAGGGTTTATCTTTCCTAATAATTTGCTTCCTGGTATTTGTAACAGCTTGTTTTTGTTTATCACTTCTGGCTACTGTGATTTTTGTTTCTGGTGGTAGAATTTCCTTGTTTTCAGAACAAGATTATACCCACATCATTGTCACTCCTTATTGTTTACTGCAACAAATTGATCTCTGTCGTTTTTATAAGGATTTACTTTCTCTCCTCTTTTTACAACAGGCACATGCAAATTTAGGGTGGAGCTGAACAATATAGGAGCCCCTTGTTTCCTGCTGGCCTTCCCCCACCCCATATAGTAAAAGACGTTGCATTATAAGATGGTGTGTTGCTGTTCATTTTCCACCACCTTCCCGCTACACTGCACCCCATGAAGTAGATTGGGAAAGGGTCATCTTACAGCACAATGACTATTTATTTATTTATTTCCAAGCATTTCTATGTTGATTAATATTTCAAAGGTCTCTAAGCAGACATGCGGCATGATCTCTTTAACTGTGGTGGGGACGCAGGTGGCGCTGTGGGTTAAACCACAGAGCCTAGGACTTGCCAATCAGAAGGTCGGTGGTTCGAATCCCTGCTACGGGGTGAGCTCCCGTTGCTCGGTCCCTGCTCCTGCCAACCTAGCAGTTTGAAAAAATGAAGTGCAAGTAGATAAATAGGTACCACTCCGGCGGGAAGGTAAACGGTGTTTCCGTGCGCTGCTCTGGTTCGCCAGAAGCGGCTTAGTCATGCTGGCCACATGACCCAGAAGCTGTACGCCAGCTTCCTCGGCCAATAAAGCGAGATGAGCGCTGCAACCCCAGAGTCGGCCATGACTGGACCTAATGGTCAGGGGCTCTTTACCTTTACCTTTTTATCAGGGAGGGCTGGTGGAGGAAGAGCCATGAGGCTACTGTTTTCAGCCGAAGCAGCCAATTTTCTTGTGCCACCAGTAGAGAAAACTGCCTTGCATGCAGAAGATTCTAGGTTCAATAACCTGCAGCTGCCGGTAGGGCTGGGAGACAGCCCTGTTTGAAATCCAGAAGAGTTTGCCTGTCAGGGTAGACAATACTAAACTAGATAGACCAATGCTCTGACTCAGTATGAGGAGATTTTCTGTGCCCCCGTGTTGTTCTCTTCCACTCTGTTTATCAGAGGTTAAAAGAAATCAAATTGTGGATGTTGAAAACATAGGGAAATCTGCTTTGCATTTATCAATCAGTTTATTTCAGAACTTGTGCCCTGCGTTACAGAATGGGTTTCCTGCACCTGCTGGTTGCTGCTGATAAAAATTCATTCCCTTAGTTCTTTGTTTTTCTGAGGAAATTCCTGTTAGGTGTGTGCACATTCTCCTTTGTACTTGGGCGTGAATCAATTAGACAGGGGAAGAATTATTTACAGCATGCCCTTTATTTATCTAGATCTGTTTTTCTCTCTTTGCTGGCTTGTTTTTCTGCATGTTACTGACGACATGCATAAGATGCTAAAGGTTTGATCATTTCCATTAGGTTAGAATAGTGAATTTGGTGAATAATTGGGGAGGCAATGTTGCATGCAATAATGTCTTGTTAAATGCTAAATGCTTCCAGATTTTGATGAGATGTCAGGTTTATGTTTGCAGTTCATGGTTTTAAATTGTTTGCAATACTTGTGTTGGCTTTAGCTGTTTTGATTTCCCCCCCAATTAGTTTTAGTGTTGTTTATCATGTTGTTTCATATTGTATTTTTAATGGTCTGCAAACTGCCCAGAGAACTCCAGTTATATGGGTGGTATACATCTGTAATTATTCATTACATTTCTAACCTGCCTTTTCTTCAGGGAACTCATAGATGGCATACGTGGTACTTTCCTTTTTTAATTAGCCTTGCCTATGAATATTTAAATGGGACGTGGGTGGCGCTGTGGGTTAAACCACAGAGCCTAGGGCTTGCCGATCAGAAGGTCGGCGGTTTGAATCCCCACAACGGGGTGAGCTCCCATTGCTCAGTCCCAGCTCCTGCCAACATAGCAGTTTGAAAGCACGTCAAGTGCAAGTAGATAAATAGGTACTGCTCTGATGGGAAGGTAAACGGCATTTCCATGCGCTGCTCTTGTTCGCCAGAAGCGGCTTAGTCATGCTGGCCACATAACCCGGAAGTTGTACGCCGGCTCCCTCGGCCAATAAAGCGAGATGAGCGCCGCAACCCCAGAGTCTGTCACGACTGGACCTAATGGTCAGGGGTCCCTTTACCTTTACCTATGAATATTTAAATATAAGTACAAACTTTGAAATCTGAGTATTAAAGGTCATTTACTGCCAACCCTTGACTTAAAATGACCCCACCCTCTTATCTGGAAGGTGAGGACCTCTTAACACACAGCGTGCTATTCATACAGAAACAGTCTGCTCAGGTTAAAAAGCACAGGGCTAGAATCTTCTTAATTACAGTTTTAAAGCACATGGTCTTACAATGCTAGAAACTAATTATTTTCAGGGCTTTGATTTTGGAGGGAAGGCAGCGGTGGAAGAAATATTTCAATGATGCAATGAGACTGTCTTTCTATAAGTGAGGAACACATTACCAAGTGTGTGTCTGATTATTGCAGGCTTTTGAAGACCTCAGCAAGCTAATGGAAAAGGTAAAGTATCACTTTTTACCTCTCTGAATTTAAATTGGCTAGGCCCCATCCAGAGAACCATGAGTAAGCAGAATGTTTCAGATAACATGTGATGGTGGTGCTTGCGGGGGGAACTGTCGTTGCGCCATTCCTTGGTGTGTGGAGTGCCGCAGGGTGCGATACTCTCCCCGATGCTTTTCAACATCTTTATGCGCCCCCTCGCCCAGCTTGTCCGGAGTTTTGGGTTGGGCTGCCATCTGTATGCTGATGACACCCAACTCTATCTGTTGATGGATGGCCATCCTGACTCGGCCCCAGACACACTGATCAGATGTTTGGAAGCTGTGGCTGGATGGTTATGTGGGAGCCGGTTGAAGTTAAATCCTTCAAAGACAGAGGTCCTTTGGCTGGGTCAGGACGATATGGGATGGGGGGGCAACTTCCATCTCTTGGCGGGGGCGCAATTAGTGCCAGCACCGTCCATTAAGAGTTTCGATGTAATCTTCAACACCTCCCTTTCCATGGAGGCGCAGATTACATCTATAACAAAGGCAGCATTTTTTCATCTCCGCCAAGCTAAGCAGTTGGCTCCTTACCTCTCTCGCCCTGACCTAGCCACTGTGATCCAGGCGACGGTCACCTCCAGACTGGATTATTGTAACTCACTCTACGTGGGGCTGCCCTTGAGACTGACCCAGAAACTCCAGCGGGTGCAGAATGCCGCGGCGAGACTCCTTAGGGGGTCCTCGCTGCGGGATCACATTCACCCAGTGCTATACCAGCTGCTCTGGCTCCCGGTGGAGTACAGGATCAGGTTTAAGGTGCTGGTTTTAACCTTTAAAGCCCTATACGGCCTAGGACCCTCGTACCTACGGGACCGCCTCTCCTGGTATGCCCCACGGAGGACCTTACGGTCTTCAAACAAAAACATCTTGGAGGTCCGGGGCCACAGAGAGGTTAGGCTGGCCTCAACTAGAGCCAGTGCTTTTTCGGCTGTGGCTCCAATCTGGTGGAACGCTCTGTCACAAGAGACTAGGGCCCTGCAGGACTTGACATCTTTCTGCAGGGCCTGCAAGACAGAGCTGGTCCACCAGGCCTTTGGCCAGGGCACAGCCTGACCCCCTCCTTTGGCAATCCTCACAGAACTCTAGCCCAGTGGTTGCCATTAACCTGATTTGAACTGATTTTTATAATGAAATGATTTTAGAATGTTGTATCATTTTACTCTTGTTAGCTGCTCTGAGCCCAGCTTCAGCTGGGGAGGGCGGGATATAAATAAATTATTATTATTATTATTATTATTATTATTATTATTAGTATTATGTTTGAAGGATCCTCTTCTAAGTGGGTAAGAAGCAGGGGGATGTGGCTCAGACTCCAGCCCATCCCAAATCAAATCATCTTGGAGGAAGTCATGATTGAATCTTCTTACACTAATGATTAGCATTACATTTGTGAGAGAAGGAACGCTCAGACTGAGTCCAGAAGCTCCTTTTCCCTAGCTAATAGTTGGGGTACTTCCAGTCTGTCTGTTTATTGAGCATTCTTCCTGATTTGTTTGCAGAGAGATTGGATGTTCTGTCAAAGGAAGTGTTACTTCACGTGTTCCGGTGTATTTCCTTATGGCAAAAAAATCCCAACATTTTGGAGAAGTGGGTTTGTTTTGCAAGACTACCCAATCAAATCTATTTGTGCAGCCTGAATTGGTTAGGTTGTGACTGAATCCCACCTGAAATTAGCCACTGTCTGGAAGTGGCCTTGATTAAATCTGCAAGATGTCCTGCTTGGAAGCCCCTCAAAGCTTGATTCTGCATCAGAAGCTCATGGCAAAGTGTTCTGTCTTCAACAGCTGTGTCTTGTCTCTCTGTTGTGTCTTAATAGGCTAAGGAAATGGTGGAACTGTCCAAATCGATTGCTAACAAGATCAAAGAAAAGCAAGGTGACATCACGGAAGATGAGGTCAGTTAATATTTTAATGCGCTAGACGCCAGCGCACTCTGAGAAACATGGACTTAAGCTGCCATGATAATATACCGTATTTTTTGCTCTATAAAACTCACTTTTTCCCTCTTAAAAAGTAAGGGGATATGTGTGTGCGTCTTACGGAGCGAATGCAGGCTGCACAGCTATCACAGAAGCCAGAACAGCAAGAGGGATTGCTGCTTTCACTGCGCAGCGATCCCTCTTGCTGTTCTGGCTTCTGAGATCCAGAATATTTTTTTTCTTGTTTTCCTCCTCCAAAAACTAGGTGCGTCTTGTGGTCTGCTGTGTCTTATACAGCGAAAAATACGGTATATAATGCTGCCAAACTCTGAATTGGTGATATGGCATAACAAATGCTGGCGATCTATGAAACGTCACCGCAGTGCTTTGCCTCATCCATGCCCACAACCTCGCCTGTAGTTGAAAATAAGCATGCACATGCACCTATAGTCTTCTCTCGCTCACTCACAATAATGCTGATATTGATGCTTAATTTATTGGCTGTTTCCTGAACATGGAATAGTCTCATGAGAAATCTGTCCCAGCTTCCTTGAGGATAAGCTGACTGAGGGTCTTCCTTGCAAGTAGATTGATTTCCAGAGAGCAGTCTTTTGTAGGTGAGGAAAAGGTGACTTGGCAATCCACGGCAGCGTCATTCCTACTTGGGGAATGCTGTCAGCATCCACTTCTCCTACATGCTGAGTCCTGGCCATTTCCTACACCCAAGCCTTTCTTCTCTTGGCCTCCTAAAAACAGCACCTGTTCTTTGCTGGGCAAGGGGTATAATAGGTGCATTTCGTTTTCTTTGGGGAATTTTAAGAGTGAACTTGAGCAGAGATGGGGAATGTAGCACAGGTCATGATTTTGGCAGACCTATGACTCCTCAGTTATCCCCCTGTTTTAGTACATTAGGAACTTCCTACTACTTCTAGAACTTCCGTCCTAGGGAATGAAACAACTCCCATATGAGGAAAGGTTGCAACATTTGGTGGTGGTGTTGTTTTAATTTAGAGAAAAGGCAAGTAAGAAGCAACAGTGTGCTGGTCCGGGGGGGGGGGGTTACTGTGCGGCGTGGTCTAAGTCCGGTCTTAGGTTGAGGGTAAGGGGGCTATCCATCAGGGGCGAAGGGAGGTCCAAAGCGAGGAGTCGGGCGTGGTCAGGAACTCAGGAGAGCAGGTCAGGGTGCCGGCAGGAACAGGTTACCAGCGATGTTGCTCCCGCAACCTGGGACTGGGGCTGCCGGCTTTTATCTGCCCCGAGGCATAGGGCGGCCCTGATCCTCTGGTGACTCGCCTCTCCTGGCCTGGAGGTGAGCACTCCTCCTGCGAGAACTTAGTTCCCTCCGCCTCTCTGCCCTGAGCCTCTGCAGCTCCGGAGAGGCTGGAGGGTTACTGGACCCAGAGGCAACCTCAGCTTCCCCTGACAGGGCTGGGAGAGGAGCACCTGCAGGCAATGGGTCCTCAATCACCTCCGGAGCCAGAGCGGATTCAACTGGTGTCTGCTCCTGAGGATCCGGCACAGGTGCGGGCCCTTCAGATTCAAGCCCCTGCCCCAGCTCAGCCGGCCCTGGAGGCGGGGACTCCTGTGCAGGCTGGGATTCCTCAGGTTCAGCCTCTGAATCAGATTCCCAGGCCATCACAAACAGGACTGAACTGCATAACATGATGCATGATATAGAGAAAGGGGATAAAGATAAGTTCCCCCACCATAACACTGGAACTTAGGAACATCTGGTGAAGCTGAATGTTGAAAGATTCAGGTTGAACAAACTGCCCACAGGAGGAAGTGATGGCTGGCCACCAAATTGGATGGCTTTAAAAGAGGATTAGACAAATGTCGCGGATGAGGCTGCTGGCTGCGTTCTGTGTGCTTCTGAATACCAGTTGCTGGAAACCACAGGAGAGGAGGGTTGCTGCTGGACCTGCTTCCCATAGGCATCTCTGCTTGAGCAACGGGACTCCTCCCTTCCCCTTGTGTGAGCCTTGCACATCCCAGATCGGCTCCAGAGGGTTGAGAGAACCCCCAGAACAGATTTAGGGTGCATGCAGGACGGGGGAGAGGGGGTTAAACTTCCATTGTGCAAGGAGAAATCCTTGCTCTGATGGAATGTTTGCCGTAGCGCTATGCTGAATTCGACCCTACAAGAACAGGACGCTGGGCTGGATGGGGCACTGGCCTGGACCAGCAGGCGCTTCCTATGTTCGTTCATCTATCTGGGATGCATCTGTTTGTTAAGAATATGGCATCTTTTTTTTTGGTATAAGTTTTATTGAAAATTTAAACAAAATATATTATCCAAAAACATGTCATCCTTAATTCCCCCCACCCCCGTTTTTTGCATCTTCAAATACTTTGTAAAGGGTTCCCATTCATCTTTGAAGTCACAATTATCCTTGTCCCGTAGCTTATGTGTCAATTTTGCCAATTCTGTATAGTCCATCAGTTTTTCTTGCCATGATTCTTTTGTTTGAATTTCTTCAGCCTTCCATCCTTGTGCTATCAGGACTCTCGCGGCCGTTGTCGCATACATGAAGATGTTTTTCAGCTTTTTTGGCAGGTCTTTCCCTACAATCCCTAACAAAAATGCTTCAGGTTTTTTAACAAATGTTAGATGGAACATTTTCTTCATTGTATATTATTTCCCAAAAAATTTTAATTACCTTACAATCCCACCACATATGATAAAATGTTCCCTCCTTTTCTTTACACTTCCAACGTATATTTGAACTAGTTTTGTACATTTCCCCTAACTGCACTGGTGTCATATACCATCTGTACATCAACTTCATATAATTCTCCTTCAACAGGGAACAGTCTGTAAATTTTAAATCAGTTTTCCATAATTTTTCCCAACCTTCCACCATGATGTTGTGCCCTACATCTTGTGCCCATTTAATCATGACTGATTTTACCTCTTCATCTTTCATCTCCCATTCTAATAGTATGCTGTATGTGGCCTTCAGTAATTTCACTTTCCCTTCAATCACTTCCAAAGAATATGGCATCTTAATCCGCATTGTTCTTCCTCCCGCTCTCTCCTATTTCCACAGACAATCAGGTTTAAATCATACCTGTTGAGCATGGGCATAGCTAATCCAGTCACCAGGGAAACACATGGATCCGGAACACATTTCCATATGCAACTGGCAAAGCAATTAGCTGGCATTTTGCAGGCACCTTTAGAGGTAAGGCACTCGAGAATCTTAATTTATTTCATATTTACTATGCATATTTTATATTCCTGTGCATATTTACTTTGGACTAAGTATGTAGGCGGGACACAGGTGGCGCTGTGGGTTAAACCACAGAGCCTAGGACTTGCCGTTCAGAAGGTCGGCGGTTCGAATCCCCATGATGGGGTGAGCTCCCGTTGCTCGGTTCCTGCTCCTGCCAACCTAGCAGTTCGAAAGCACGTCAAAGTGCAAGTAGATAAATAGGAACCGCTCTGGCGGGAAGGTAAACGGCGTTTCCGTGCGTTGCTCTGGTTCGCCAGAAGCGGCTTAGTCATGCTGCCCACATGACCTGGAAGCTGTCTGCGGACAAACGCCGGCTCCCTCGGCCCATAGAGCGAGATGAGCGCTGCAACCCCAGAGTCGGTCATGACTGGACCTAATGGTTAGGGGTCCCTTTACCTTTACCTTAAGTATGTAGGCATAGGATTGTAGCCATAACACACTTGATCAAAATTATGTCCAGTTAGTAGATTAATCAGGGGCACATTTTAAATCTTTGGGGAATTAAAAGGACTGTGTTAGAAGGGCACTCTAGTAGGCAACTCACACGCACATCCAGTTTTAAAAAACAACACAAAACAAAGTTGGCATTTCTTTTGGTTAGCATTCCAAACTAGCAGATCTTGCATTTCACAATGAAATTTCCACAACTTTTTTTAGCAGTAAGAGCCACAGGCAATAGAGGCTGACAATGCATAGAAGCAGACATTTATGTGCTGTGCTGTGCGTGCAATTTCTCAGCCTCATCTAACATGATTGTGCATGCACAGCCTTATTTTTAAAAATAAAAATCCACCTCATCAGCTGTTTTGAGAGGAGGAATGAGGGATGGAAACAGTCCCATTTCCTCACCATATGGTGATCAACAGGAGTTCAGGTTTTTAAAAGTAGGGGCTGAGCACATGAAGCCCTGATGTCTCTGTACATGCTCTGTTGGATCAGAACTATTGCTAATATGCTTCTTTAAAATGTGGACTTTCTTCAGTGGTGATATTCCTTTGTGAGTAGATTTAAACAATAGGTGCCACAGTATAAATTTTCAATTCAGTGATAAAGATGTATAATGGATATTGAAGGAGAACTGGGAAATTGCTTAGAAGCTACATTATTTGCCTTTGTTACCAACTGCCGAGTACCCAGGAGATCCACACTGGCAGTGTTTGTACATCCCCTTAAATCATGGTAATCTTAACTATGGCTGAAAGGGGAACAGGCAGCGTGCTGTTGCACAGGGTGAAAAATCACAGGAACTTCACTCCTCCCCTCCTTCTACCATGCTGCTGGGAACTAAGCCATGATTTGGTTTTGTCCAAACCCAGGCTCCTAGCTTGGCTTTCTCCAAACAAATCACAAGTTGTAACCAAGATTCTTGACTTAACATCCATCATTTGTTTAGGGAAAGCTAACCACAAATCTAGGTTTGGATGTGATGCCAAGCCATGCCGGTGGCTTAGCGGCACAGCAGCAGCAAGAAGGAATAAAGCATCTGTGATTTTTCACTCCATGCACATTGGCTTAACTACTGTTTGAAAGTAAGATACGAAGCAGGCCCTTGAATCATTGGAGCAGTGTCAAATAGAAAAAGAAGATGACCTTTTAGAAACTACTGACAAATTTCCAGGACTATGTTTACTGCAGCTTCTGTGCCATTTGCATTTCCAGATACAGTGGTACCTCGGGTTAAGTACTTAACTCTTTCGGAGGTCTGTACTTAACCTGAAACTGTTCTTAACCTGAAGCACCACTTTAGCTAATGGGGCCTCCTGCTGCCGCCACACCGCCAGAGCATGATTTCTGTTCTCATCCTGAAGCAAAGTTCTTAACCTGAAGCACTATTTCTGGGTTAGTGGAGTCTGTAACCTGAAGAGTATGTAATAATAATAATAATAATAATAATTATTATTATTATTATTATTATTATTATTTATTATTTGTACCCCACCCATCTGGCTGGGTTTCCCCAGCCACTCTGGGCGGCTTCCACAGAGACCAAAAATACACTAAAATGTAACCTGAGGCGTATGTAACCCGAGGTACCACTGTATTTTTTTCTGCTTGGGCATGTTGATGTTGTCAACTAGCCCATCATAACTTCTCAGAGACAGCAGGCTGGATGTTCTAAATTGGTTCTCTCTTACCAACTGATATTGTGTCCACAGGAGCGGGGAGGAATAATGTCACTCACAGAGGTTTACTGCTTGGTGAATCGTGCCCGAGGCTTGGAGGTGAGGAACAATGACCTTGTTGCATTTCCTCAAAAGTTGGCTTGATCAACTTAATGCTTCTCCAAGTAGCCAAAACTGAAATGATGTTGTTTCTGTAGGAAATGGGGAAATATTTCTTCCCTTTGGTGTCTAGCTGTTCCCCTTTTCTTTAAAAGAACATTATAAAAATAGTGCTAACAAGATAGGATAATTTTCCAGAGTAAATTCCATCCAGTAATGTGCTACAGAACAATGAAGTGGGGATGTCTTGAAGACATTAAGGCGGGGGCGGGCGTACCTTTGACCTTCCAGATGTTCTTGGACTCCAGCTCCCATCAGCTCTAGCCAGGATGGCTAATGATCAGGGATTATGGGAGTTCCAGCAACATCTGGAGCTCGACTGGACCTTGCATTGAGTTCCCAAGATTCCTTGGTGAAGCATTGGACAGTTTTTAGTATTTTTGAAATAAAACGAAGGCTTGTAAAATACCTGAAGCGCAGTTACGTTCTGAGGGCACGGAGATGGATGTCAATAAATTTTAAAAAATATGTGGAGTGAGTGAGCAAAACAGATTGGGAAGAGAAGATTTAAAAGTTTTGCTATTCACATAGCTGAAGCCTGTTGCATGAGAGCCAGAAGTACTGTCAGCTTTATTTTTTGCAGACTGACTACCAAGCAAGTGCCAAAAGGAATACTTTCTGAATTGCACAGATGTCTTGCATTGCAGAGCAGCCAGATAAGTCCACAGAGAGTGAGAGCAGTCTATTCCAACTATTATGCATTTCAGATTACGAGGCCTACAAGACTAGCACATAATACGCAACTTGGCTTGAAACATAAGCTAAATAGCATTTGGTGTGTTCTGCCATCACTGCAGTAAAACTTTCCTTTCCTTAGCAAAGTATGTGTGTGGGTTTCTTTGATTCGAGCTCAACAGACTGGTGACTGTTTAGGCCAGTAGTGAGGAACATGTGGACCTTCAGCTGCTGTTGGACTACAATTCCCATCATTCCGATCTGTTGGCCATGTTTACTAGGAACAATGGGAGTTATAGTTTAGCAGCGTTTGGAGGGTCACAGCTTTCCCATGCTTGGTGTGTGCTATGAGGTCACTGGTATTTGTCATGTTACAGAATGCCAGCAAAACATTGAAACCCAATAAATGTGTGTTTATTATTAGGGGCCTTTGTCCTATGAGACTGCTATACTCCCTTCCTAATGTGTAGTTTGACTCGGAGACAATTCCTATGACTGTATTTTCAGGTGTAAATATCCACATGACTAACGTATGAACCACTCCTACACGTGTGGTTACCTTTATTATTGCTTAGGATTTACATATTCTTGTTTGAAGGAGGAGTAGGGATTGTTAATACATGTAAGCGCTATTCATATTTGAATTGACACTGATGCATTTTACTGCTTCTGTATTCACACCACAGTGCAAAAAAAAAAAGTGTTCTAGGAGGCAACTGTGAGAATAAGACATGCTTGCAATGTGATTAACATAACTGAGTTCTCACCCCCTTAGCTGCTCTCGCCTGAAGATCTAGTAAATGCGTGTAAGATGTTGGAAGCACTAAAATTACCTCTCAGGTGAGAATCCTTTAGAATTTAATTTTAACTCATCTTTTCCCTTCTCCTATCCCCCAGAAATGGTATGATGGGGCTTGTTCCCCCATTCTCCTTTAGAACCAAGAAGTAGCACGAAGCAACCAGGCACATGGCTGCAGTTATGCTATCTTCTGTCAAATGCCCATTTAAGGTTTGGTGTTTGCCTCGTCCTTACCAACTGATTTTTTAAAAACCCGGCAGGTGTATGTGAGCTGTAGTTGTCAGGTAGTGTGGGCGCATATCTACATTTTTGAAGGTTTTTGAAGGTGTTAAGTCTTTCTTCTTGCCACTTGATGATGGTGGTGGTGATGATGATAATGATGATAATAGATTATTTATACCCCGCCCATCTGGCTGGTTTCCCCAATCACTCTGAGCAGCTCCCAGCAAAATACAGTGGTACCTTGGTTTGCATACATTTTGGATTACAAACACGTCAAACCCGGAAGTGCGTGTCCCGGTTTGCAACCTTTTTTTGGATTACAACCCTTTTTTTTTTTTGGATTACGAACAATTTTTTTTAGGAGGCCCCATTGGTGAAAGCACACCTTGGGTTACAAGCTGTTTTGGTTTACAAACGGACCTATGGAACGGATTATGGTTGTAAACCAAGGTACCACTGTAGTAAAAACACGATGAAACATCAAACATTAATAGCTTCCCTAAACAGGGCTGCCTTCAGATGTCTGCTAAAGGTCTTCTAAAGGTTTATTTCCTTGACATCTGATGAGAGGGCGTTCCACAGGGCAGGTGCCACTACCAAGAAGCCCCTATTCAGCAGTGAATGGGGACCTGATTGAAAGGAAATACAGTGGTACCTCAGATTACATACACTTCAGGTTACAGACTCCGCCAACCCAGAAATATTACCTCAGATTAAGAACTTTGCTTCAGGATGAGAACAGAAATCGTGCTCTGGCGGCGCAGCAGCAGCAGGAGGCCCCATTAGCTAAAATGGTGCTTCAGGTTAAGAACAGTTTCAGGTTAAGAACAGACCTCCAGAACAAATTAAGTTCTTAACCCGAGGTACCACTGTAGTTGAAAGCGCTGCTTCCTTGCGTACTCAGGATTGCAGAAACCACACCAGGCTAGAGAATCAGTTCTTTACTACCTTGTTCTTATATCTTTTAAACAGTATCCTGAGGAAGGGAGTGGGTCTCATCCACACTGTACATTTAAAGCACATTACTTCCCCCAAAGAATCTGTAATTTTTAAGGGTGCTGGGAATTGGAGGAACGTGAGCGGTAAACTACAGTGGTGGTGGTTTATTAAATTTCTTTACTTCCCTTCATCTGAAGATCACAGTTTACAGCTCCCAGCATTCTTTGGGGGGAGCAGTGTGCTTCAAATGTATTGTGTTGATGTGACTGGAGGAGCTAGTTTCAGGTGTGGGGGGGACCTGGAATGAAAGTCCTCACAGCTCTTTGTGCTATGGGGACAGATGGGGCAAGGAGTCTTAGGAGGCCTCCTTAAGCCACAGGATGGTGAAAGGAAGTCAGACAATGAAAAGCAGGATGGAGATATGAAGAAGAAAAGGAAAAAACAGAATTGAGACTGTGCGCCTTTTGAAAGAAAGGAAGTTGGCAAGATTGTGGAGAAACCTGCCCATTGAGAATTCTTCTTTCTTTACCTCCTTGTGACCTGGAAATGCTAAGGGACAAGAAGGGCCCATAAAGCACTGGGGAGAGTCGTAAATGGGACTAAATTTTACTTATCAATTTGAGCTAATCAACCAATTCTTTGGCTACAGGCTTCTAGTTAAGGTTTGTATTTTTCCTCGTCTCGAGTTTAGGCTGCGTATATTTGACAGCGGCGTTATGGTGATTGAGCTGCAGTCCCACAATGAAGAGGAGATGGTAGCTTCTGCCTTAGAGACAGTATGTAAACGTTTTATTTTCTCAAGCCATCTGTAAAAGAAACAGTGAAGCTTTCTGTTGTTGTTGCCAAGCTTCAAAACTATGTCCTGTTTCCTTTTGTAAAGCACACATGCACAGAGACCCACACGTTTTTACATGTCAGAAGAATAGACACCCACCTGCTTCAAGCTCAGCATAGCTGGATACAGTCAAGACAGATCCCTTGTCTCTGTATTCCCATTGCCTGACGGTAGTTTTCTGCAGTATTCGTCCATTGTTCCTGATGTATATTTTGCTCCAGGAGGCTTAGCTTGGTCAGAATCAAGCATACACTTCCCGATACATTTGCTAGATACATTTGTTGTTGTTTAGTCATGTCCGACTCTTTGTGACCCCATGGACCAGAGCACGCCAGGCACTCCTGTCTTCCACTGTCTGCCGCAGTTTGGTCAAACTCATGCTGGTAGCTTCGAGAACACTGTCCAACCATCTCGTCCTCTGTCGTCCCCTTCTCCTTGTGCCCTCAATCTTTCCCAACATCAGGGTCTTTTCCAGGGAGTCTTCTCTTCTCATGAGGTGGCCAGAGTACTGGAGCCTCAGCTTCAGGATCTGTCCTTCCAGTGAGCACTCAGGGCTGATTTCCTTCAGAATGGATCGGTTTGCTCTTCTTGCAGTCCATGGGACTCTCAAGAGTCTCCTCCAGCACCATAATTCAAAAGCATCAATTCTTCGGCGATCAGCCTTCTTTATGGTCCAGCTCTCACTTCCATACATCACTACTGGGAAAACCATAGCTTTAACTATACGGACCTTTGTTGGCAAGGTGATGTCTCTTCTAGATACATTACTGCTGGTTAATGAGCCACCATAGCTGCTAGAGGGCTGTGAAAATTTGTGTCCCCATGACTCGTCTCCCCATGTACTATATGAAACCAAAGAGGTACATTGTTTACCACATGTGAATCCCCCCCCCCCGCTGTCCTACCCTACTAAACTGTGTTGATCTGTTGATCCTGCCCCTCCAACCTCCATCTCTGCTCCCTTTCCCAGCCGGACGGCTGCCAAAAGGGGCAAGAGGCTGCAAAGCCCCCTTTCATGTCAACCCCTACGTTGAGCCGGAGTTGGACAGGATGGCCTCCCAATACCCTTGCCAGTTCTGTGATTCTGGTGTCAAAACAAGTGTGCCCGTGCATATAAAGCGTATAGGATACGGTACATGTGTTCCCACCCTGCAGCCATGACTGCTTGTGCATCTTTGCTGGTGGAACGGCTCTGCAAGCATACTGAGAAAGTTCTGCTGGGATATCTGTCGCAGGAGCAGGCTATCCTGCCTTCCTCCAGTGTCGTAGGGCTTCTGCTGAATTCTATGAACTTTCAGCAGCAGATTTCCAGTACAGGTTTTTACCCGAGGTTTCTTAAATCCTAACTAAATGTTTGCTAAGCAGGAAAGGCCTGGTATTTGACCTGCAGGTTAGGGACGCATGCCTACTTCAAAGGACTTCCTGTTACTGGAGTGGAGGGGCAGGACTGAAAAAAATGACCGCTGCTTCACACGTTGTGAAGACAAATTGTTCCATCACATTTTCTGTAAAGAGCTATGGCTCGTTGTATATGAGGCTATCCTATCTTTCATCTTGCCACAAACCCGAGAAGTGGGTTAAGGTGAGAGATGGTGACTTTCTCAGGGCCACGAAGAGATCATCATAGCCAAACAAGGATTTGAATCCAGGGCTCCATAATCAAAATCCAGCACTCTCCATCCCTCCGTCATTTAGCAGATACTAAATGTGCAAAACCAGACACAGTGTTCCTTATAACGTGTGAGATCTGTATCTGTCTTTGGGACAGTGTATAATTGGAACCACAGTTGTACTGGATCACCATACCATGGATGCACAGTTTACACTTATTTTAAAAGGGAGAGAGAAAGAGAGAGAGACTATCATGACTCTTACATATTACAGATTACATGCCATGAACAGACCTCTCTACCTGTTGTTGTGTGTGCGCATGTGTATGTATAATTGTCTTCAGTTAAGGATAAATTTGTGAGGTTGCAAAACTGTTGTGTCAGTCACATCTTTTGAAACACGATGAAAAGAAAGCATTTAAGCTATGTCTACTCCTTGGTGATTTTTATAGGGATGATCAATCCAATTAACACATTAATAACTAATAGTATTTGAACTTCAATGAACATTAAATTAACACAAAATGTTATGGAAATAAGTTTACAAATGGTATGTTGGTCACTGTGGAATTACCCATGCAAAGCTTTTATTTTATAATTTTTGTCCTTTAGGTCTCTGAAAAAGGATCTCTTACAGCAGAAGAGTTTGCAAAGCTCGTGGGAATGTCTGTACTTTTAGCTAAAGAAAGGTAAGCAAATAAACAACAAAATTTCCCTCATTTTTAATAGCTCAAGAGATCTATTAAAAATAACACAAGTACTTCTTTTTCTTTTCCTAGGCTGCTTCTAGCTGAAAAGATGGGCCAACTTTGCAGAGATGATTCTGTAGAAGGCTTGAGATTCTACCCAAATTTATTTCTCACACAGAGTTAATGATACGTTGGCTCTGTCTTCCCCTCCGTTCAAATATGCTTGCCACATGTAGGCTGGACCAAAAGAAGCCAAATGATCTACCTTATGATGGTGCACAAACATTTCCTGAGGTGGCGGTGGGCCCTATGTGGAAAGAGGAAGAAAGGGGAACATAAAAGTGTGCATAAATTATGTTAGGTTACAACTGTGTGCAGGTCGTGTGGGATAATTAATGCAGAGGACTAATTTGAAACTTTTTTCTTAAGAGGATAGGTTTGATACACTAGAAACCTTGTGCTGTTAAATTACAGAGGAAGGCAGTTAAGTGATTCAGGAAAGGTGGGGATGTTATTGTGACCTACTTGCAAGAGTAGACAGAGCACAAAACGTGCTGTTTGCTTAGTACATTTCCCCCTATTCCATTTTTACTATGGACTTTGTATCTACAACTCCAAAGCAATTATGTTTTCGGTAGTGTTAGAAGAAGATCACTGGTGTGAACGTAACACGATACAGAGCGTGTTTGCCCTTTCCAGTTACTACTGAATAATTCAATTTGAAAGTGCCTACATTTCAGGGGGGAAATCTTCCTGGGTATGTTTGCCTATAAACTTTCTTCAGAGGAAGGATTAATCTGTATTATAAAAAACGTAGACACCAGCGTGTTGCTTTGTGCTGAATGTTAAGACAATAAGCATTGTGAACTCAGATTTCCTTCCTTTCATTCTTTGATTCCAAGCTCCATGATGTTGCTATTTTTGTCGTCTTTTGCCTAGCTATGAGGAATTCTGAGAGCTTTTCTGCCAGCTGCCTTTTTTAAATACTCTTTCTTTAAAAAAACAGTCATTCATTTGAGCACCAATTCTCTATCAGGGTGGAAGTTATCACTGCGTCGGTGTCTATAAAAGACAAACCCATTTTAATAGGGAGAATTCCTTAGCGTCATATGTGATGTGTCCTTACACCATTATTATGTTTTACCAAATACCAGTAATCCTATTGGAGTTGTGTGTTTGCTTTGTGTTCTGGAAGATGTGTCATTATAATGTCTGATATGAATAGATATTTTAAGTACAGCTGCAATATTTAGTTTATTAATTGGCTAGATTGGCTGATTAAAAACCTTTTGATCAACTAAAAAGTTGTCTCATATTAATTTATCAACATAAGAAAGAGTCCCCAGAAAAACAGTGGTTTCAAGTCACGGGGAATTTCTTCCTCCACTCTCCAAGCAGGAATGTGTCGCTTAAAACATGCGCTGTCATTTGTCCTGTGGCACCAACTGGGATGGGGCAGGGATGGCAGGTTATGTAGCAGAATCTCTGAGAGGGAAATTCCCATAGTAGACAAGGAGTCAGCTGGCCAGCTGAACCAGAGGCAGAATAATAACCAGGGGGTTGAACTCTGGCCCCAGTCACTAAGGACATGCTGCTGTTTGCACTAGTGTGAATAGAGCATACACTTTCATCTTCTTATCCGGGACAAGAACCATACAAATGACTGATCCCACCCCTCTTTAAAAGTTAAGTAGGAGGGTGTTGGGACATCATAGTTACTCTTTCGTCATGTACCTTAGAGCTCTGTTGTAGGCTTATGAATCATGTCCCCTGTAAAGGTAAAAGGTAAAGGACCCCTGGGCGGTTAAGTCCAGCCAAAGGCGACACGGGTGTGGCACTCATCTAACTTTTCAAGCCAAGGGAGCCGGCGTTTGTCCACAGACAGCTTTGCATGTCCCCTGTACCTTGAGCTAATGCCTAGACCGTGTGCTGATGTCTTCAAGAAAACACTGGAACTAAGAGTCAGAGTACCATGTCCCAAGAGTAGGAATCGGAACAGTCACCAGCTTAAAAACACAGGTTCCATGTTTCTTCCTCTTCAAAACTATTTGAATCACATACACACTGTTAATAGGATAACAGTCTTCGGCTGTTAATGTATACACAATTTCTTCTAAGCAAGGTGTGAACCTCATTTTTAGGTCAACATGCATAGGATTGAACGCCATAGAATACAAATTGTAAGGTAATAAAGGAAGCAATAAAAATGCAGTTCAAACACAATATGAATATGTTAATGTGATGGATGTGCCGTCTCCTGTCTTCAGCCATAAATCCACACAGACCACTGATCTTACTATATTATTGTTAAACGGACAAATAAAGCAATTTGTTAGAAGTTAGTCCTGAAATATATTTGCCGTATAATATTGTGAATCACCAACAGGTAGATCCCACCACTGTTTCCCCATTAAAGCTTTCTATTAAGGGCTTTTGACTAATTGGTATGGAAAAAACTATGTGTAACAGGCATTGGTACTACATCTTTTTAAATAGGGTGTTTTGTCACTGTTTCGTTCAAGAAACTGCTGATTGGGGTTTTGTGGGGTTACGAAAAGAACTCCAGACGCTACATAAATCAACAGCGTTTAGCATTCATGTTAGGGTGTGTGTGTGTATGTGTGTGGCTATGACAGATAATCTCCCCAGTTCAGTAGTAGGAAAATGGAAGTCTTTGTTGTGCGAGGCAAGACATGGAACACACTTCACATGACCAAGCTGTGAGTGGAACAGTACTTCACACAATTTGACATGTGCATTATTTCCCAAATTGGTGCCCTCCATATGTGATGGACTCCAACTCCAACCAGGAGTGCCAACTTGAATAAAATATTGGGTGGACCAGGGAAGCCCTGCCCTGCACAACTGATCACATGCTAAGAGTAAGATTACCATAACTTCCATCACAGAGCTTCAGCATGCTGATGGCAACGCAGTGTGTGCACACACAGAGGATGACCTCCAAACCATCTTAAATATCTTTGCAGAAGCTTATGAAAAGCTTGGCCTATCGCTCAACATCCAAAAAACCAAAGTGCTGCACCAACAAGTACAAAATAACCCCTGTGCAGCGTCACAAATCCAACTCAATGGTGTAACATTGGAAAATGTTGATCACTTCTACGTGGGCAGTTATCTTTCCACAAAGGCCAACACTGATGCTGAAATCTAGCATAGCCTGAGCTCTCACAGTGCAGCTTTCTCCTGAATTAAGTGCAGAGTGTTTGAGGACCGGGACATTTGCAGAGAAACCGAAATGCTTGTTTACAAAGCTATTTTACTATGAACTTTATGTATGCTTGTGAAACATGGGCCACTTATAAACATCATCTCCAACTCTTCAAAAGATTCCAGCAACGGTGTCTCTGAAAAAAATTACATCTCACTTGGCAAGACAGACAAACTAATACCAGTGTACTGGAAAAAGCAAATATCACCAGTGTCGAAGTAATGATTCTTCAACATCAGCTTTGTTGGACTGGTCATGTTCAGATGCCTGATTATCGTCTTCTACAGCAACTACTCTATTCCGAACTTCAAAATGGAAAGCGTAATGCTGGTGGTCAACAAAAGAGGGTCAAAGACTCAAGGCAATTCTTAAAAAATGCAGTATAAACACTGACTAGTGGGAAACACTGGCCTGCGAGTGCTCCAGTTGGAGAACAGCCTTGACCAAAGGTGTCGTGGACTTTGAAGATGCTCAAACTCAGGACAAAACATGCTAAGAAGGTGGCACGTGTGGCAAACCCTCACTGTGATCAACTCCTGCCCGGAAACCTATGTCCTCACTGTGGAAGAACGTGTAGATCCAGAATTGGCCTCCACAGTTACTTACGGACTCACTGTTAAGACCATGTTCATGGAAGACAACGAACGAGGTGATCGCCAAAGAAGATGAAGATGGCACACACATCATTTGAATGGCAATGCCCATTACCTTGGGGACCCCTCATTTTTTGGGGAGCGATGAAGGGACCTCTGCATAGCTGTCAACTTTTCCCTTTTCTTGCGAGGAATCCTATTCGGAATAAGATAATTTCCCTTAAAAAAAGGGAAACGTTGACAGCTATGCTCTGCCCCTAGGAATTGGTTCATATGACTTCAACCACCACAGCCCTAACATAGCTGTCAACTGTCCCTTATTTGGCGGGAAACTCCTTATCCCAGCGCCGTGTCCCGCTGCTGTTCCTTATTGATGGTGTCCCTTAAATTTCCCGGGTTTCATGCTCGCCCGGCTCAGGAGGGAAGCAGCGGCTCGGGGTCCTCCGCGCAAGAGAGAGTGCGCGCTGGCGCCGTCCTGGCGCAAGGAGTTCCATCGGCCCTTCCCTGTCCGAGAGGGGGGGAGAGGGAGAGAGACTCTCGCCCACGCTGCCCACGAGCCTGGAGGAGGCAGTGGTGGTGGCAGCTGAGGAGGCGGCCTAAGGGAGGAGGAAGAGGAGGTGAAGGGACACGGAATGGCGGCACTTCAGCAGCCGTGGCGGCGCCACAACCGCCTCAAGCCGGATCAACAGCATCTGTCAATCCTTTTTTTTTTAAGATATTTATTAAAGGTTTAATAGTTACAGAAAAAAGAAGAAAAAAACAATAAAAAGTTCACAATACATCAAAAATAAAAAGAAAAAAAGAAAGAACAATACAGCAAAACAACAAGAAAAGCGGAAACATTTAAAAACACATCCAATATCTCTATATCTCTACCTTTCCTTTACTTGTATCATCGACCTCCTCACACCTCCCTTTTTTGTATTCTTGTTCAATTAGCTATTTCCATCTTTCTTAATTTTTGTTCTGTAATTTATCTTAACACAGTCTAACCTTAAATTTCCACTTTGACCCATTAACAATCTATTTTTACTTAGTTCTTTATAACATTTCTGCTAAAGCCATATAACTTCATTCCAGCATCCTTCTAACATTCATTAATTTTACAATATTTCTGTAAATAAATTTTAATTTTTTTCCAATCTTCTTCCACCGACTCTTCTCCCTGGTCTCGGATTCTGCCAGTCATTTCTGCCAACTCCATCGACAGCATCTGTCAATCCTACCAATGTATGTAACTCTTTACAACAGCAAAATCCCTTATTTTCAAAAAGGTATTTAAATATACCTTCCCTAAGAAACCAGAGGCCTTCCTTTTGGGCATTGTTGGCCAAATGGTGCCAAAAAAGGACAGAACTTTCTTTATGTATGCAACAACAGCAGCAAGAATACTCATCGCAAAACATTGGAAGACACAAGATTTGTCCACTCTGGAAGAATGGCAGATGCAACTGATAGACTATATGGAATTGGCGGAAATGACTGGCAGAATCTGAGACCTGGGAGAAGAGCTAGTGGAAGAGGACTGGAAGAAATTTAAAGACTACTTGCAAAAGTATTGCAAATTGTATGAATGTTAGAATGATGCAGGATATAAAGATAATAGGGCATTAGTGACATAGTTGAAAGGAGTATGTAAAAATTGGTTTATAAGAACAAAGGTGAAGTTAGAATAATATTATGTCAAACTTAAATAAATTGATAAGAAAGGGAAAAATTGGAGACATAATAGTTGAAATGTATAATACAAAATAAGATTTGAATGAAGGTGAGGCATTGCTGAATAAGATTGTGTAAAAGGGAACACAGAAAAGGGAGATGTGAGGGAGTCTGGAAGGAGGGTTATGAAAACAATAACTAAGAAATTGGTTTTTTATGTCTTTTTTCTTCTGTTTTTTATGGTGGGTTTTTTATTGTATTTTTCTGTTTTTTGATTGATTGTGATGGTGTTTTTTCTTTTTTCCTATCTTGTTGCGAATGTGAAGTTTGTTTTATTGTTTAAAACTTTAATAAATATCTTTAAAATAAAAAAAAATCCCTTATTTTCGAGGCTGCTGGTCCCTTATTTTCAAATCTGTAAGTTGACAGCTATGAGACATTTGCTTTCTAGGGAGGTGGCGCACCCAGTTCCGCCCGCTGGGTACTTGGAGAGGTCGAGGCTGCTGCGTCCTAAGCCCGTCGAAGGCCGCCTCTTTCCCGGGGGCGGTCAGGCTGCGCGCCCTCCTTCCCTCGCTGCGCCCGCGCTCTCCGCTAGGGCGGGCCAGCCGGCTGCGCTTCCCGTCGGTTCCTTTGCGCCACGCCCGGCCCAGGAGGCGCATCTCCGCCCGTTTGAAGGGAGAGGCACCGGCGGGGGAGAGTCCCTGCGCGGCGGCGGCGGCGGCTCTGGCTCCGGACATGCGCGCCCACCGGGAGGAGAGTCCGGCCAGAGTTGGTCGGCCAGCTCCGCCGCCAAAGCCCTTCACCTGACGCCCAAGTGAGCTCGCGCGTCTTGCACGTGGGAACGGCCCCGGAGAGGAAAGTTTGGAGTCGGGGCAAAGAGAGTCGAGTCGCCGGCCAAGCTTGGAAGGAAGAGGGGTCCCTCCGCGTTGCCGTGCCATCTCCCTCATGCCCTCTCCAGATTTGGCACGATTTAATTCTCTCAGCCCTCATGTAGTGGAAGAAATATTTGGAACTGGGGTAAGTATTTTAACCTTTTTTGAATTAAATTTGTATATGTATCCGATTTGCACCCGAAGATCTCAGGGCTGTTCACAGCATAAAAACACAAAGTAAAAACACAGAATGCATAATGAAAACAAGAACGAAACAAACCACAAAAAGGACAAAGAATGGTTGGTTAAACTGGTAGAATTGGAGAGTTGGAAGGGACCTCGGGGTCATCTAGTCCAACCCCGTACAATGCAGGGATCTCTTTGCCCAATGTGGGGCTTGAACCCACAGCCCTGAGGTTAAGAGTCTCCTGCTCTAGGAACTGGGAGAAACAAGCATTTTCAAAATACCTTTTTATCTTTAAATGTGCTCTTAGTGACTGCTCCTTAAAGGGCTATGAGGAGTAATCAACTTCTGCAGTACCAAATACAGGGAGCTTATTCCCAGTAAAACAGTGGAGCTGAAGAAACATGCGCAGGATTGCACTGTTAATGTTATTTTTATTGCTGTTGACTGCTTTGTGGTTTTGTGACTGTGTTTTATAGGTTCGGTTGAAATGCACCTGCTTTTTTTGTACCTGCTTTTGCAGTATGGAGCAGCTAGCCTGGGCTTAAGTTTGTTTTGAGGTGTTTTAATTTGCCATTTAACATGACTGGGTTCCCCCCCTCTTGTCTACTTGTTTTCAAAAAATAATAATAGTGCACCTCCTTGCACTGCAGTTAGCTTCCACCTCTATTCCATCATAACTCTATTTTAACTGATCTGGAATGAGTTGTGATATTAGCTCTCATTTATGTACCTGAGAGCAAATGGTTGTATCTTCCAGTCTTCCAGTCACATAGGTGTGATCTGGGATTTATCCAAGCCACTTTGTGGAGTGCAGAGCTTAGCTCCTTATTTGCAGAGCTGTGTGCCCACACTTTGGGCTTGTCCACATTTCACCATTACTGTATATTTTTAGTCCTTGTTTTCTCCATTTCAATTATACTGTGTTCACACTTCTGTTTACTACACACTGTTCACACTTCTGCTTCCAGTGTTTTCAATCCGCATTCACACAAAGTTATCCAAAAAGCATATGCATCCTGTTATAAGATACTGCTTTTTTAAGTGTTGTTCCTCAAACCAACTGATAGGAGTCTTTAAGTGATTCCTTACTGGTAATTCATTTCTAGCCAAGGTGTGCACACCTTTTGCATAAGGTAAAAGCATCCCATTCTACTCAACACCACCTGATGTATATGCTGTGAAACGCACTGAGGGAAAATCTTCACTGCACTCCGGGATTGCCAACTTGAATAAAATATTGTGGGGGCCCATGTAAGTCCCACCCCACATAATCAATCAAATGACGCAGTGCACACACACCATTTGAATGGGAATGCCCCTCATTTTTTTATTGTGGGGGCTGGAGCCCCTAGAAATTGACTCCTTTGCTGCACTGTAAACCTGGAATGTGAACACAGCAGTCCACACCTGCGTGTGTTTGAATTTGTATATGAGGAACAACTTTCGTCTTTCCAAAAGGGAATTGGGCTCACTGCCTTGACCAATGCACAGTCACTTACAAGTATTTGGCCAGTCTTGTAGGCAAATATCCTTGCACACATTACCACAAAGGTGGAGGCACCTATTTATTGTATTTCTTAATGTGCCAATATCATTTTTAATTGTTTGTGTGGATCATGCAGTAAGATCTTGGCCATGCGCCTGTAAATTTCATTTACGGGTGGCTTGCGGTTTTCAGTATAATTTCATCCTGTGGACAGATACTCACTACAATAGCAGGAGTATCTGATTTTTCCCTGTGCAGTCAGAGAGGCTTGGGCCGTTTGTGGATTGTTTTCCTTCCTTCTGTGTCGCTCATACTTCCCTTTTAAAACAATGGGTGGGCCTCACTTTTCCTGAGTACCACCAGTACAAATCTTGTTGGTCTCTGGGAATTTATGCTGTAACCACGGCTAGCAGAATTCTAGCTTTAGATTTGCTGTTGGGATTGACAGCTGTTTGTGCATTTACCTGTATGTGCATCAATTTTCTATATTGAAATAATTCGACTCTGTAATCCTAAAAGAAGCATGTTCCCTTAAGAGGGTTAAGGTGGTGTGGTTTTGTGGCATGCTAAAAATACAACAGTAACTTATACTTCTTTAGCACTTTTCTCTAATCCTCACAGAGAATATTCTGTGAAGAAGCATCCTGCTACCCATGCTTCTGTGCAAAAGGAAAGATAATGGTTCACAGGGAAATGTCTCACTATGGGTTTTTCATATCTTGACCCTAACACTTCCTATTCTAGGCCAGGGTGTGCCAAAAGCTGACACCAGTGCTGTGTCCCACTCTGGCACAGTTTGCATGCAATGCTAAGCACAAGTGAGAGAGAGTGCAAGAAATGAAAACAGTAGTCCCTTCACTCCTCTCCTGCACTCCTATTGCTGCTAAAACAGGTTCACATATAAAACTAAACCAAACCATGGCTTAGCTCTGGGGAGGAAGGAGGTTGTTGCGATCTTCATTCTATGTCTCGTGGTCCCATCCCAAAACACAATGACAGTGGCTCTTACTCGAGAGTAAGGAAGAGAACTTTATTCAGGTTATAACAGTAATAGGCTCAGCACCAAGCACAAGGTCCAGAAGTCAGGATTCCTAGGTACATAAGCAAGGCAAGGGATGCAAGACCGAACTGAAGCAACCAAGATGTCCCAATGGTTGTCATACCCCTCCTGCCAAGTTTTCGAAGATGAGGCAGGAGTGAGCTCACTCACGGGACTGCCACAGGGTCAGGTGTGTGTCCCACCTGGGCAGGTGCATCTGCTCCCTCTTACGCAGGTGGTGCTTGGTTCTTGGCAACAAGACTGTGTCCTGCTTTACTGATTCCAGGGTCTCTGGCTCCTCTTTTCCCACTTGGCCCTCCTGCTGGATTATTGAAGTCCTCTCCCTTCCCCAATGACACCTTGTTCTCTGAAGGAGGGGCGATGGAGAGCAACATCAGATCTGCTTCCCTATCTTCAACACCTTGAGTCACAAGGAGAAGACTTCTCTCCCAGGATACCAGCCTTCAAGCCCCCCCTCTCAGTCCAATTCTCTTCTTTCTTCCTCTAACATCTGGGTCTGCCAAACTATGGCAGAACCTCACAGAACCAAGGGACCCATGACACCATGAATTTGGACACAAACTTAGCCATCACTTGGCTTAGAATCAATATGGAAGCCAGGTCAATGTGGTGCTCGATTGAAGCTGCAACAACATTACACTCCCAGTGTTCAAAAGTAGCTAGGCACCAGGTATGTTTTGCGACTGGCACGGGTTCAGTTGTGATCCATGTGATGCAGGTGAGCGGCCAATGTCTTCATCTGGATGGCCCCTCCAGCTTTCTTAAGAATATCCCAACTTTTCATCCAATGAGCTTCAGGACTGAGTGGGGAACCCTGATCTCCCAGGTCCTGGTCCAGCACTCTAACCAATACACCACCTTGGCTCTCTAGAGTTATTCTGCTACGAGGCAGCAATATAAGTAGGTAAATAAATATGTGGAAAGCAAACTGTCACTTAGGGAAAGATCTGAAATATTTTCTTTGAAGCTTGAATTTGTTTTGTTCTGGATTGTTTTATTTGATGTTTTAAAGTGTTCTAAACTGCTTTGAGATTTTGAATAACAATAACAATAATAAATCTCATTGGGGGGGGGGAGCACATAGGCATTCTGTTGTGGCGACCGTAACCTAGGTTTAAGGTGCCAGCCATTTGGCAATCAGCTTTACATATCTGAGTTTCTAACGCTTTACACTCCTGTCACCAGTAAAAGCTTTAAGACTATGTTGGCAGTCCTATTATGAGACACCCATGAGTTGCATGTGGCAAGCCTATGCATGTTGACTTGAAAGGAAGCCCTGCCATGTTCAGTGAGACTGGTTTCCATGCGTAGGATTGCAGCCTGAGGTCCAGAAATACAGAGCTGTATCAACCACCAGACATCTATGCAATCTTGCGCCCTCTTTAAAAACAATCAGTCTGGCTATTTGCTCTTGCACCAATGGAAGTAGCAGGCTATCGGTATAATAGATACCGTCTGGGCAGTGTTCATGTGCAGGATTATGTGTCTTTACAATGTGTCAGTTGCTTCACACAACCGATTTAAATTGGTTTCTCAGCTGCTAAAACGTTAGAGTTATTTCTTTGTGCTTCCACAGATAGGAGCATAGAAAAGTGCTTTGCACTGAGTCAAGTCACTTGCTTGCAGCAGCTCTGTAAGATCTCAGGCAGTGGTCTCTCCCTACCCATCCATGCCGAGGAATGAATCTGAGGCCTTCTGCATACCTAGCAGATGCCCTATTACTGAGCTACAGCCTTTCCCCAATATTAGTTCCTTTGGAGAAGTCCAGCTTTTATGTGACAAGAGTCTCTCTTCCTGATTGCCTGTTTGTGTGAAGTTGTTCTAGGCTGCTAAAAGCGGCAACTCTGTGTGTAAATCCGTGTTAGCACATTTATAATCCAAGTACTGTACTTAAACTTGTAAAGGTAAAGGTAAAGAGGGACCCCTGACCAATAGGTCCAGTCGTGACCATCTCTGGGGTTGCAGCACTCATCTCGCTTTATTGGCCGAGGGAGCCGGCGTACAGCTTCCGGGTCATGTGGCCAGCATGACTAAGCCACTTCTGGCGAACCAGAGCAGCGCATGGAAACGCCGTTTACCTTCCCGCCAGAGCGGTACCTATTTATCTACTTGCACTGTGACATGCTTTCGAACTGCTAGGTTGGCAGGAGCAGGGACCAAGCAACGGGAGCTCACCCCGTCACAGGGATTCGAACCGCCACCCTTCTGATCGGCAAGCCCTAGGCTCTGTGGTTTAACCCACAGCGCCACCTGCGTCCCTTAAACTTGAGATACCATCTATTATTGTAACTCGGTGAAGTCAAGAGCATGGTGAAATGGCTGTTGCGTGTTTTCAATGAGCAGAAGAAAAAGGGTTTGTCAAAATAAATTTCAGAGTGTTCAAGGCAAATCTTAAAAGGCTGTTCAGAAAAATCCTCTGGTTTGTTTGTTTTTTACTGTAGTTGCAAAGACAGAACAGACATTGGACTTGGAACAGGACATGAGGAATAAAAGGAAGAGGGAGCCCTTCTGATCAGAATGAAACAGATGTTGAAAGATTTTTCAAATCTACTGCTAGTCGTGCTCTGTGATTATGGTGAGTATTCGGTGTAAGCCGCTGGAGACAATTCACTATGGTTATTTTGGAATCTCTTATAAATGGGTGGCTTGATGTGAACAAAAGAAAGAAAGAAATGGAAATAAAGTGTTATAATTACGTATCTGTTTGCACCTGTAAAGAATACTATGCACAGCCTTCTAAAGTTTCTTCGAAAAAGATGGAAAGGACTATAGCTGTGTTTTTCTATCTTTTTTTTTATTCAAAGTTATAACAAAACATATTATCCAAAAACATACCCTTATTTCCCCACATTTTTCCTCCCTCCCCCCCCCGAATCCACCCCCCCACCCCACCCCCCGACTTCCCTCAGTTCCAGTCTTTGGTTTCTCCAATAATGCTATTTTCTGCATGTTACAACGTTGTATAGATCCTCAAACTGTTTAGCTGATTATTATCAGTAAAAAAATTGTGAATGTTTATTCAATATAGCTGTGTTTTTCTCTAGCAGTATTGCTGGAAAGTCAGATCTTGCTCTAGCCAACCCTTTATTTCACGGGTGGAAAACCTCTAGTCTATGGACCGTTCCCCCCAAACCTCGTCCATCAGCTCACATCAGTCACCATCTTTTCTTCCAAGTTCTAACACACCTTCCCTTCTTCCCGCCCCCTTCATAGTAGAAGCTGTTCCTTTTCTTTTCAGTGACTGAAGATTCTCACCCGACCTTCCTTTTCTCCAAGCTAAGCATTTTCAGACCATAGCTCCTTCAACCTTTCCCCCTCTAATTTTGTTTTGCGCAGTTTTTAAAAAATGTACCCAAAATAGAGTACACCAGAGACGGCATTAAGAGGTATTGCTGAGAAATACACATTACGTGGCTGGAAATAATGTACTGATGCTTATTTATAGAATTTCTGATGCACTCTTCAGCTGGAACAGGCTCCCAGAGCAGCTTGCGGATATCAGTAATAACTGCCCCACTCCTCAGGCTTACATTCTGAAAGGCATGACACTAAAGGGGAGAAAGGATTGGGGGGCGGGACCCAAACTCTGGCACTCGTTATTAGTTACACATTTGTTTAAAGGTAAAGGTAAAGTTTGTGACCGACTCTGGGGTTGCGGCGCTCATCTCGCTTTATTGGCCGAGGGAGCCAGCGTACAGCTTCCGGGTCATGTGGCCAGCATGACTGAGCCGCTTCTGGTGAACCAGAGCACCGCACGGAAACGCAGTTTACCTTCCCACTGGAGCGGTACCTATTTATCTACTTGCACTTTGTGCTTTCGAACTGCTAGGTTGGCAGGAGCAGGGACCGAGCAACGGGAGCTCACCCCGTCGTGGGGATTCGAACAACCAACCTTCTGATCGGCAAGTCCTAGGCTCTGTGGTTTAACCCACAGCGCCACCCGTGTCCCTACCCATTTGTTTAGCTCCCAGCGATTGAAATACCTTCTCAGAACTGGCTGCCGTGCAGCTGGATGCTGGCTTTTTGGGGTGGGGCTTTGCCCTTCTGGGACCCAGCCAGCATGGAAATCAGCTCTTGGGTGTTCAGGTAACACCACGGTCCCTAGAGTTGATGGGTCTGCTGCAGTAGGATGCTTACGTTCAAGAATTAGCCCTCTGCCCCAATCTTCCTAGAATTTGCCATGATGGACAGGTGAGGTCCCCAGGCTTCATTCAGGAAGCTTATTGGAATTCGTTGGCATCTCCTCACCGCTGCCACAGCAGGGAAGACTCAGAGGTCACCCTGGTGACACCCACCAGCAGGGGTGGAACTACTATAAAACTAATGCAGTTTAAGTTTCAGGGCCCGTAAGCCTGGAGGGTCCCCTGAAGCAGCTTCAGTCCATACCGCAAATTAACAAAACAGATATTCGAAGCAACTCAACCCTCAGCAATCATTCAAAAGTTTGTTGCAGATCCCAGTTCCTGCTTTCACATTTGCTATATGAGCATGTGAGAGCAGGCAAATAGCCAGATTACGGTGCTGATGTGTAAACCAGCATCAATTCCCTGCTCTGCCCCTCCAGCAAAGGAATATATGTATCTGGACACACACACCCCGCCAGAATCAAGCCAGCTGCAAAAGCTCAGATTTCACCTATTGGACTTCTATGCATGTTGAACTGGATAGATCTCTGTGAGACGCCACAGGGAATGGATAATAGAGGGTCCTGCCTTGTGGGAGGCCGAATCCTTCGCTTCTGGCTTTTGTCGGTTTTAATTTTCGCGTCTAAATCCCTTCTCTTTTTCTCTGTGATGCGAAGGCTAAATGAAATATTCATAAGCTCTGTCACAAAAGAAGCCTTCAAAAAGAGTGCTGCAGCATATTATTCCGTTTTTTCAACTTGGGTGGTATTTTCTAGAATTCCGCTTCAGACACCACCTCCCCTTTCGTTTTTATCTTAACTAATATGCAATGTAAATGAAGCATTAGTGGGTCAAGGTGAAGGCAGGAACTTGCAGAGCTCAAAGGCGGTGGCGGGTGGGGGAATTGCTCACCAAGCATTCTTCTCCTTCCTGCCCCGTTGGTTAAATAGTTCGGAAGGAAGTAGACAGGTGAGCTCATCACCCACAGACTTCAGGGTCCTTTATTACAGTGAAGATGCTCCAGGTTCCTCAGGCCTTTCCAGTTTTCCAAATGGTATTACGTTTTAAGACTTTTGAATACTAAGGGCTATTTTTGTGTTAGAGGTCAACTCTGTTCTCTTGTAACTTTCTTTCATATCCATGTTGTTGTTGTTGTTTAGTCATTTAGTCGTGTCCGTCTCTTCGTGACCCCATGGACCAGAGCACGCCAGGCACTCCTGTCTTTCACTGCCTCCCGCAGTTTGGTCAGACTCATGCTGGTAGCTTCGACAACACTATCCAACCATCTCGTCATCTGTCATCCCCTTCTCCTTGTGCCCTCCATCTTTCCCAACATCAGGGTCTTTTCCAGGGAGTCTTCTCTTCTCATGAGGTGGCCAAAGTATTGGAGCCTCAGCTTCACGACCTATCCTTCCAGTGAGCACTCAGGGCTGATTTCCTTCAGAATGGAGAGGTTTGATCTTCTTGCAGTCCATGGGACTCTCAAGAGTCTCCTCCAGCACCATAATTCAAAAGCATCAATTCTTTGGCGATCAGCCTTCTTTATGGTCCAGCTCTCACTTCCATACATTGCTATTGGGAAAACCATAGCTTTTACTATACAGACCTTTGTTGGCAAGGTGATGTCTCTGCTTTTTAAGATGCTGTCTAGGTTTGTCATTGCTTTTCTCCCAAGAAGCAAGCGTCTTTTAATTTCGTGACTGCTGTCACCATACAGTATTCCATGTTAGGGAATATTAAAGGGAAATACTGCGGGGGTGGAGATGTGGGATAATTCATAAGGTTTGTGGGAGGAGCAAAATATTTGAAAAATGTTAACTGAGTATATTTTCTCCACTAAAATACTGGGGTGAGTTCATAGGGGAAATGCTGGAAAGGGTTAAATTTTGCTGATAGGGATAAATGAACACCTCCCATTCATGGCCAACATGATAGGCTGAACTTTACAGTTGTCCGTAAGATACTAAGGGGTTCAGAAAGTGTTACTGCATTTCTAAACCAATGGTTGAATAAAATCTCGTTTTCTCCCTGTTCTCTCACACATTTCCCTTTATTAATACTTCACAAAATTGCATGTAAGCAAATTTGGATGCGTTGTCTAGAAGTTTGATATTGTTTTAAAAGTTTGCATATCTATGTGGAAGTCTTCTGATATAGGCATTGGGATCAAAAGCATGCAGAGTCATTTCTGCTGTGGATTCAGTAGTAACCTGGAGCCATGAATGTAATGAATTGGGCAAATTTAGGTTTCTATTATTATTTTTTTAGAATAATATTTTATTGAAAATTTCAAAAGAATTAACAGCCAAACCAAGAAAAAACCACAAAGAAAACCTACAAACATCAGAAATTCAAACAGAAAAACATCAAAAAAGAGGGGGGGAAAACAAAATACAAAAAAGAATACATAAAAAAGTTTAGCATAAAAAAGAACACTCTTTCATTTTGATAGCTTTCAGAACCTTATTCTCTTTACTTCCACCCACCTTCCCTTCTTGTATTCTATTTTAAAAATTAATTCAGCAAGATCATTAATTATTCAATTTAAAACCTTTGTCCATCTCTTTAAAGTCTATTTATCTTAATCGCTAAAACCCTTCATTTCATTTTCAGAGCCCTTAGCATTCATAAATTTTACAGTATTTTTGAAGATAAACTTTAAACTTCTTCCAGTCCTCTTCCACCTGCTCCTCTCCTTGATCTCGGATTCTGCCGGTCATTTCTGCCAGTTCCATATAGTCTATTACTTGCGTCTGCCATTCTTCCAGAGTGGGTAGATCTTGCGTCTTCCAATGCTTTGCGATAAGTATTCTTGCTGCTGCTGTAGCATACATAAAAAAGGTTCTATCCTTCTTTGACACCAATTGGCCGACTATGCCCAGGAGAAAGGCCTCTGGTTTCTTCAAGAAAGTATACTTAAATACTTTTTTCAGTTCATTATAGATCATTTCCCAGAACGCCTTGATCCTTGGGCACGTCCACCAAAGGTGAAAGAATGTTCCTTCAGTTTCTTTACATTTCCAACACTTATTATCAGGCAAATGGTAAATTTTTGCAAGCTTGACTGGTGTCATGTACCACCTATAAATCATTTTCATAATATTTTCTCTTAAGGCACTACATGCCGTAAATTTCATACCGGTGGTCCACAACCGTTCCCAGTCAGCAAACATAATGTTATGACCAATGTCTTGGGCCCATTTTATCATAGCCGATTTAACCGTTTCATCCTCAGTGTTCCATTTCAACAGCAAATCATACATTCTTGACAGTATCTTAGCATTGGGTTCTAACAATTCTGTTTCCAGCTTTGATTTTTCCACCTGGAAGCCATTTTTCCTGTCCAAATTATAGGCCTCTCTTACTTGAAAATAGTGTAACCAGTCCCGCACCTTGGTTTTCAGTTTCTCATAACTCTGCAATTTCCACCTGTCCCCTTCTTGCTCTAAAACTTTCGAATACCTCGGCCATTTAGATTCCATATCAATCTTTTTCACGGCTTTGGCTTCCATTGGCGACAACCACCTAGGGGTCTTACTTTCCAAAAAATCTTTGTATCTATTCCAGACATTAAATAAAGCTTTCCTTACAATATGGTTTTTAAACCCTTTATGAGCTTTAGCCTTATCATACCACAAATATGCATGCCACCCAAAAGCATTATTGAAACCTTCTAGGTCCAAAATATCTGTGTTCTCAAGAAGTAGCCATTCCTTCAACCAGCAAAAGGCTGCTGCTTCATAATATAGCTTAAAGTCTGGCAGGGCAAACCCCCCTCTATTCTTAGTATCAGTAAGGATTTTATATTTTATTCTGGGCTTTTTGCCCTGCCAAACAAATCTAGATATTTCTTTTTGCCACTTTAGGTTTCTAAAGCCTCTTATAACCAGCTGCATCTGCCTGTTGCTGAGTAACTGACCACCAGGAGGTTGAAACTGAGAATGTTTTTGAGAGCTGCTTCTTAGTGCAGATTGTGAAGGTTACATTGGATTTCCTCAAAAAAACAAAACATCTTAAATCTCCCTATCTCCTCCCCTTCTTTCTGTTCAACTACTGACCTTGTCAAATACTTTCTTTTCAGTTCTTGGAGCAGTGGAGTATCTCCTCTTGGAGCAAGCAACTCACGTAGCCTTGAGCAATGGCACTGTGTCGGTTAGCTTCCAGAATTATTATGACAGCAACGTGACCTTGAAAAATGGTTCCATCCTGCTCATAGATGCCAGCACCAATCAAACTGTCACCAGAAAACAGCTCCTGCAAAACCAGGACCAATATATTGTTGTCTTTGAGTGCTTCCATTTTAAGAGTGCCGGGAACTACTGGTTCAAAATGGCTCCCGAGAACCAGTGGAACGGAGAGAAGACCCCACTGAGTGTTGTCTGGCCTGTATTCCACTTTGATTTGAGGAGGACTTCTGAAGCGGTTGAGTCTTCCCTTCAGCTCAGGCTGTTTACCGACGAATATTTGTGTCCGGTGAATAAGACGGTGGTTTCTCTGGATGTTATACTGACCAGCCGCTTCTATGAACTAGGAAAGCAGATCTCGAATGAGACTGGGGGACTGAGAACTAGCAAAGAGCTTTCTCTCGCCAGGTCCCAGTGGGTGACGCTTGACTGTCGCTTGGTTGGCCAAGAAGCCTACATGACTCTGTTCCTGAAATCGGCAGAGACCAAGTCAGTCATTGCTTCGGAAGGGCCTATTGATCTCGTGCGCAGATTTGGGTACAAGCTGGTCGTGCCAGGAGAAGTGACATGTGAGTCTTCGGTTGTGGTTTCTGTCATTCCTCCTCCCTGCACTTCTACTGGTGGGAACGTTGCTGTGTTCAAAGACCTTGGGCCTTCTGGTCAGGGGGCGTCAAGGCTGCAGGAGAGTGTCATGAATCCAAAGGACGGCCAGATAGAATTCAACTGCACATTGTTCGACGAGGGCGCAAACAAATACTGCTTTGAATTTAGCCTTTTGCCCAGAGACAATGCCCCACCGAGAGCGAGGGAATGTGCGCTAATCCAAAGGAATGTTGGTCTGTATTACCTTTTGAGAAAGGCTCCATTTGAAAACCCAAAGGATTATGAGATGTCTTTGTGATTGCATGTTGTGCATCTGTGCATCGTAGAGCCAGGAATATGATTGCATTTGCAGCGTGACCCACCCCCAATGCAGAGCTGTGAGCACAGGATAGGACCCCCATAAAACATAATGATAAAGCCCTTTCACTGCCCCTTAACTAGGCGAGCAGCAGGGAGTCCAGACAAAGGTGGGCAGGTGACAAGGATGGGAGGCGATGACAGGGAAGAGGTTTGTAATACCTTATGGGAAACCCCTCTTGTAGTGGAGAGGGGTTGGGCCACTGGTTTAATCTCAACTTTTTGCTCATTTTCTAAAATGCCATGTCTCATTCTGATAAGAATAAGAATAAGAATAAGAATTTTATTATTTATACCCCGCCCATCTGGCTGGGTTTCCCCAGCCACTCTGAGCGGCTTACAACATATCTAAAAACATAAATCCTTAAAAACTTCCCTAAACTGCGCTGCCTTCAGATGTCTTCTAAAAGTTAGATAGTTGTTTGTTTCCTTGACACCTGATGGGGGGCCGTGTTCCAAAGGGAGGGCGCCACTACCAAGGAGGCCCTCTCCCTGCTTTGCCAAAAGGGATTCTAGATAGCCTTGGGCAAGACACTGTGAGCATCAGCTCAGAAAGGCAGTCCCCAAACCCTTAGAGAAAAGGTGTAACTTAGTGGTAGAGCATCGCTGGTCACTTGCAGAAGGTACCAGGTTCAATCTCTGGCATCTCCAGGGTAGGGCTGCGAAAGACTCCATAGCTCAGGTCTGATAACGCCAAGGTTGCAGGTTCGAATCCCGTTTAGAGACAGCTGGATATTCTTGCACTGCAGGGGGTTGGACTAGATGATTCCCAACTCTGTCATTCTGTGATTACCTTCTTAGAGCTGCTTCTGGACGATGTGAACAATATTGAGCTCTACAGACCAGTGGCCTGACTCTGTGTACAGCAGCTTCCTCTGTTCCAATGTCAGAAGACTCCTTGGTGCGTGCTCATAGTGTGTTTGGAGACATGCACCTCCCCTTTACAATTTATAGCAGCAAGCCACGAGTAGGGCACTTGCAGTGTAAAGTCTGAAGCCCGTCTGGTTCTCAGCTTAGCTCGCCCTGCAGAGTTCTTGGGAGGAAATGAACTCCAAGGCTCTTTGCATCTAATAACGTGTAACCCAGGCGATTGGAATTAGGGGGCAGCTGTGAAGATGCTTGATCACATTTGCCTAAGGGAATGGGGGACCGCATTGCCTGTGCTCTTATTCCTCATGTAAAGGTAAAGGTAAAGGGACCCCTGACTGTTAGGTCCAGTCGCGGACGACTCTGGGGTTGCGGTGCTCATCTCGCTTTATTGGCCGAGGGAGCCGGCGTACAGCTTCCGGGTCATGTGGCCAGCATGACTAAGCCGCTTCTGGCAAATCAGAGCAGCGCACAGAAATGCTGTTTACCTTCCCGCCAGAGTGGAACCTATTTATCTACTTGCACTTGGACATGCTTTTGAACTGCTAGGTTGGCAGGAGCAGGGACCGAGCAACGGGAGCTCACCCCGTCACTGGGATTCGAACCACCGACCTTCTGATCAGCAAGTCCTAGGCTCTGTGGTTTAACCCACGGTGCCACCCTGTCCCTTATTCCACATGTACTGGGCACTATAAGATTGACTACAGAGCCCGAACGCAGGCTGTGGGGGGCACTCCTTTACCATGTTTCTATGCTTCAGTTGCTATCAATGCAGAGGTTGCACTTTGGGGAAAATGTCAATTCCAACCAGCTGGTTGAGTGTTAGCTGGGAAAGGTGTGGATTGCTGCAGGCTTGTTCAAGCCTCCTTTCAGAAGGGCAGGGCAGTCTCACCCCTGCCATTAGCTGGCAATTGCTCCAGAAACCATTCCTGACGCTGATTATGTAGCTGCCTGTTTCCTAATCTCTAGCTTCTCTTCCTTTTGAAAAGGGCATGGCAAGATCCCTTGAAGCTTCAGGCACAGGACACGTCACCACCGGGAGAATCCACCTAATTCATTAGCAGTGGGTGCAGCCTGGGAGTGCCATCTTTTCATATTCATCTGTTCCCTGTGCTTCTTAGCAGCGTGGCATGCAGATTCCTTGCATTGCAGGGAGTTGGGCCCGATGACCCTCGTGGTCCCTTCCAATTCTACGATTCCATGTTAAAACAGGGATGAGGAATGTGTGGTCCTCCCAGACATTCTTCCCCCCGCCCCCCGACCATGCTGTCTAAGTCTGGGGAGAGCTGGAATCCAAAAACATCTGGAGCTTCACAGGTTCCTCAACTGACACCCACCCACCCCATTTTTAATATCCATGTCAGAAAAAGATCCACCTGTTTATTTTCTCCTGTTAAAGTGAGACCACCTTTTCCACACTCGTTTTCTCTTTGGTCCCATCAGCCACCTGCCTTCGGCTCTCATTTGCTGCTTAGGAAAATGAATGTGTTCTGGTGGGTGATGGGGCCATGAGTTGAGCAGGAAGAAGAAGCTGTAGGTACAGCTTTTCTTGAGCGGGGAAGGGGGGAAATAATAATAATAATAATAATAATAATAATAATAATAATAATAATAATAATAAATAATTTATATATACCCTGCCCATCTGGCTTGGCTTCCCCAACAAAATATTAAAATATTTTAATAAAATATTAAAATACAGTAATGCATCAAACATTAAAAGCTTCCCTAAACAGGCTTTTCACTGGCCAGCATCTCAGACTTTTCAGTTGCATAACTAAGAAGGACTCTGTGTTACTGAGGAACACAACAGGTGCGTTTATGAGTCTACACTAACATGTTCTGCTTGCATCCATCAGTCCCAGAGAATGGAGCCTGGTGGCTGTGGTTCTTTTATTTGGGCTGTGAGGGGTTGCCAGTGGACCTCCAGGTGTTGTTGGACCACAGTGCCCACCGTACCTGACAATTGACCATGCTGCCTGGGATGTTGGAGGACAACAACAACTGGAGCACCGCAGGTTCCCCATCCCTGATTCAGAGGTTCCATCTTGTCTGGGTGGGGTCATTTGCAGATGTGCAGGTGACCTCAACGCACCTGTGACCTCCATCTTTTTCTCCTCTGCATCTTTATTATGTAGCATCTTAGCATGGTGCTAATGTGGCACATGGGCCAAATGAAACTCAGTCCAGATGAGGCTGAAGCTGTGTTGACCTGCAGCTCTTTTGACCTAGAGACAGCATCTGACTTTGGGGCTGGTTCCCACACATACATACTCGAAATTTCTTAACACTTGATGTGTGCAAGCTTAATGAGTGAATTGCCCTACCTGAGAAGTATTGTGTTTGAGTTGACATTGGGTGATAATACTTTCTACCTGTGTTGTTGTGGTCTCATTTGCTTATGTAATTTAGGAACCAAGGGTTGTACAGTGGTACCTCAGGTAACATACGCTTCAGGTTACAGACTCTGCTATCCCAGAAATAGTGCTTCAGGTTAAGAACTTTGCTTCAGGATGAGAACAGAAATCACGCAGCAGCGGCAGGAGGCCCCATTAGCTAAAGTGGTGCTTCAGGTTAAGAACAGTTTCAGGTTAAGAACAGACCTCCAGAATGAATTAAGTACTTAACCTGAGCTACCACTGTATTCAACAGTGATCTAAGTTGCTTGTTTCATAAGCGCAAGGATTTCTCATGTGCAGCAAAACGTTCTCCCCCTGATATCTCCCAACCCTTGGGAACAGCTTTGGTGTACATGCAGAGGGAGACAGGGAAGATCCCATTGTACTAGCAGTAATCCTTGCACAGTTATTTAGTCAATATTGCTCTTAGAGGTCTGCCTTACATCCAGTCTGTTCTGACTGGCAGTGGCTCATCAAGATCTCAGGAAGAGATCACTCTGCTGCTTGCTGCTTTATTGCTAACATGAAATGCCAAGGATTGAACCTGGAATACACACAAAACTTAGGCTCGGCACTGAGCTATGGCCCACCCTTATGTATGTATTTATTTATTTATTTATTTATTTGTTCATTTATTTTAAAGCGTTTATATACCACTTAATATTTCTGAAATCTGCATGAAAAACATAAACAAGGGAATTCAAACAAAAATACAGCGCAAAACCTGTAAAGGAGTAGTACAAGGGCATATGGAAACAAGAATCCAGACAAATGAAAAGGGTCCGATGTTATGTGTTACAAGTGTTTATAGTCTATCCTCTTGCAAAACACCAGGGCAGTGTGCAACAGCATAAAAAGCATTTAAAAGCAATGCATATCAATCATTAAAATGACTGGCTAATTTAGAGACATTTTAGACAACTGCATAGGCCTATGGGCATATGAAAAAGTCAACAAGAAATGGCTGAAAGCAAAAAGTGAGGTGTGTTTTTACAAGACGCCCGAAGCAACTGATGTTTGCAGCTTTATGTATGGCAGAGTTCGGAAAGGCATCCCATAATACAGACAGAACAGTGGCCGGCTTCCAGGTCACTGCTCTGCTGCTACTTAGATGTTGTCACTTGATGCTGTAATCAGTAAGTGAAGAACTGAACTCATCATTGGACCGAAAGGCAAATTGCAACCGGAACGCTTCATTTCCCCACAAGGTGGAGACTTCTATCCAATTTAGACGTTCCCAGTGTCAGTCACGCCCTCACATCTTTAAGCCAGGGCTATTGCGAAACACGCTGGATACTGAAAACTGTCTGCAGCTGGGGTTGAAGGCAAAAACTTACTTGGGCCACAATATGTTTGTTTACTTTGGGTTGAAGGCAAAAACTTACTTGGGCCACAATATATTTGTTTACTTGGGGTTGAAGGCAAATAATAATAATAATAATAATAATAATAATAATAATTATTATTAATTATAATTATTATTATTATTATTATTTATACCCCGCCCATCTGGCTGAGTTTCCCCAGCCACTCTGGGCGGCTCCCAATCAAGTGTTAAAAACAGTACAGTAAACAGGGCTGCCTTCAGATGTCTTTTAAAGATAGGATAGCTGCTTGTTTCCTTCACATCTGAAGGGAGGGTGTTCCACAGGGTGGGCGCCACCACCAAGAAGGCCCTCTGTCTGGTTCCCTGTAACCTCACTTCTCTCAATGAGGGAACCGCCAGAAGGCCCTCAGCACTGGATCTCAGTGTCTGGGCTAGAACGATGGGGGTGGAGATGCTCCTTCAGGTATACAGGACCAAGGCTGTTTAGGGCTTTAAAGGTCAGCACCAACACTTTGAATTGTCCTTGGAAATGTACTGGGAGCCAATGCAGATCTCTCAGGACTGGTGTTATGTGGTCCCGGCGGCCACTCCCAGTCACCAGTCTAGCTGCCGCATTCTGGATTAATTGCAGTTTCCGGGTCACCTTCAAAGGTAGCCCCACGTAGAGCGCATTGCAGCAGTCCAAGCAGGAGATAACTAGAGCATGCACCACTCTGGCGAGACAGTCCGCAGGCAGGTAGGGTCTCAGCCTGCGTACCAGGTGGAGCTGGGTAGACAGCCGCCCTGGACACAGAATTTACCTGCGCCTCTATGTACAGCTGTGAGGCCAAAATGACTCCCAGGCTGCGCACCTGGTCCTTCAGGGGCGCAGTTACCCCGTTCAGGACCAGGGAGTCCTCCACACCAGCCCTCCCCCTGTCCCCCAAGAACAGTACTTCTGTCTTGTCAGGATTCAACCTCAATCTGTTAGCCGCCAAAAACTTACTTGAGCCACAATGTGTTTGTTGCTCAGAGTGCCTGGTGCCTCATGATCACTCTACTTTCTGAGAGGTATTGTGTTCAATAATAGTTCTGCCTGTGGTGTTTTGGTCTCATTTGCTTATGAAAGTTGGGAACTTGCCAATACATGGCTGACCGCATCTGTCTTCCATACTGTGCGTAGGGTAGATGACGGAAGAGGCATTGCTGTTACCCTTGGCAACCAGGCCTGTGATATTTGATAGGTGGAATGGGCAGCTCACCACAAAGACACGCTTTCTGGAAAGGCCGCTCAGCCTGGAAAGTTTTGCCCTTCAGGTGATCACCCATAGTTAGTTTGGGTACAGTGGCAATGGAGGACCTGTGTGGCCTTTCAGATGTTGTTAAACTACGACTTCCATCAGCCCCTGCAAGCATGGCAAATTGGGCAGGCATGATGGGTGTTGTAGTCCAACAACATCTGAAAAGCCGCAGGTTCTACATCCCTGGTGTAAGGCTGCCATCTGCATCACCCAGGTCCTTTGCTTCCCCCACCTCCTGCTGTATCCAGCACCCATTTTACAGTCCTGTTCGCATGCGGGAGAATTCCTCCCTGCAAGAGATTGAAAGGCTGGATCTGCCTGCTAATATCTCGTAACTGGATCAGCCTACTAAGAGAAGGCTGAGGGTCCGATTTGAATGTACCCGTTTTCAAGGCTAGCAATTTTCTGTCTCTCTAATGGAAGGTATCTCTCCAGTAATGCAGAGTTTATGTATTCACAGGATCCTGGGGACTCTGGCAGGCCTGGAGCCCCTGTAGTGTGACTTGTGGGGACGGCACCCGAGAGCGCTATCGAGAATGTCTCGCGTCTTTCCCGTTCCCTATAAAGCAAGGCTGCGCTGGGAGACAGCAAGAAACATCTCTCTGCTCCTTGGAGGAATGCTCCAGTACGTAGTCTTTATGTTGAGATTGCATTCTCACTCACAGTGAGTCTGGGGAAAGGGCAGGATAGCAATAAATAAGACGGCAATAATATTATTATTCTCCTCACCTCTTCGTCTCAGTGAATACAAGCTATGTCCATCTCAGTGTGTTTTGTGTGGGGACAATTGTCTTTGTGAAACCTCAGGACAGGCAGAAGTGAAGGAAGAAGACCCAAGGGTAGAGCTAAAATGTTTTATAGGCAGACATGCAACGTGAAGGTGTCATGTAAGAATGACATACACATCTGCAGAATGCCGATGCCTGAACTACTGTGGTTAGGTTTTCCATGTCCAGAAAGGGCTGTAACTGCCTGTGGCGATCACACAGGGTCCCTGGACGTTTAACAGTCTATTGATCCCTGTGCCACCACTGTGCTCGCTTCCCCGCTGCCACCAACCCGTTACTCTCGGGTAAAACACTGAGTCCAGACAGTTGTTAAAAGTGAACCAAATAAACAAGTTTATTTTATAAGCCTTAACAAGTTTATGATTTCTCTGATAATATTCCTGTCAGTATCTTAACTTTAGTTTCTTTACCGCCCTATACCTTCCTAATACCTTCTGACTGATTATCTCAACTGTTTGACTGACTCCTCTTAACAAATTCTCTCCCTCTCTCACATCAAACTAGCCCAACCCACAGACTTATCCTCTCTGTCTCTTCTAACTCCAGACCGTCTTCTCAACCACCCTAACTCCCTACTCCTCCAAAAACCCTCTGTGCTTAAACCTCCACCCCTTGGGTTCCTATTGGTTAGTCATTTTACAATTAGTTAACCCTTTCCTTATGAACCCAGTATGATGTCACACACCTAGGAGGGCAAACGCCACACTGCCATACTGGGTGCAGCTAGTAAAAGGTGTCTGTACCCATTGAGGCTCTTCTGCCCACCTAGCAGTTCGAAAGCATGACGTGCAAGTAGATACAGTGGTACCTCGCAAGACGAATGCCTCGCAAGACGAAAGAGTTTTCTGTTTTTTGAGTCTTTCCGCAAGACGAATTTCCCTATGGGCTTGTGAGTTCTTGCGAGTTTGCTTCCTTTTTCTTAAAGCCGCTAAGCCGTTAATAGCCGCTAAGCTGCTAAGCCGTTAATAGCTGCTAAGCCGCTAATAGCCGCTAAGCCGCTAATAGCCGTGCTTTGCAAGATGAAAAAACCGCAAGACGAAGAGACTCGCGGAACGGATTAATTTCGTCTTGCGAGGCACCACTGTAAATAGGTACCTCTCCAGCGGGAAGGTAAACGGCGTTTCCGTGCGCTGCTCTGGTTCGCCAGAAGCAGCTTAGCCATGCTGGCCACATGACCCGGAAGCTGTACGCCGGCTCCCTTGGCCAATAAAGCGAGATGAGAGCCACATCCCCAGAGTCGTCTGTGACTGAACCTAACGGTCAGGGGTCCCTTTACCTTTACCTTTACCCATTGAGGCTACCTGGGCCTCCAGCGATTCGGGCAAAGGGCAACCCCACCCAGAGCAGGCAGTTAACCCATTTCCTGAACACAGGAACCACTCACCCACAGCACTTCTGTCTTGCCAGGATTCAGGCTCCATCCCACCACTGTATCCAGGAACCGGGCTAAGGACTGCACACACACCCTTGATTCAGATGTTATGGAGAAATTGAGCTGAGCGCCATCAGTATCCTGATGGTGCCTTGCCCCCAAACCGTGGCAGACTCTTGGCTCTCAAATTTCAGAGGCGCCTTGTGCAACACTAAAATTCATCCCCCGCACCTCTTGCACGCTATTCTGAAGCATTGTTTTGGTGCTCCCTTCAGTGGTGCACCCAGCACGACTGCCCTGGTCACACCACCCTAAAGCTACCTCTCCCCCAAACTCTTAAGGACTGTGTTCAGTGGCTTCCTCAGATCAAAAGACAGAACATGAAGTTTCAAGGAACCTTTTTCCTAGGAATGTGATGAGCATTGCTATCTGTTCAGCAATACGCCAGTAAATCTTTATCTTCTGGGACTGCTTCATGTGTGTAGTTCTGTTTTTAGGGTTGCATTGAGCTGATGCATGTGGCGCTGTGGGTTAAACCACAGAGCCTAGGACTTGCTGATCAGAAGGTCGTCAGTTTGAATCCCCGCGACGGGGTGAGCTCCCGTTGCTCGGTCCCTGCTCCTGCCAACCTAGCAGTTCGAAAGCACGTCAAAGTGCAAGTAGATAAATAGGTACTGCTCCGGCGGGAAGGTAAACAGCGTTTCCGTGCACTGCTCAGGTCTACCAGAAGCAGCTTAGTCATGCTGGCCACATGACCCGGAAGCTGTACGCCGGCTCCCCCGGCCAATAAAGCGAGATGAGCGCCGCAACCCCAGAGTTGGCCACAACTGGACCTAAGGTCAGGGGTCCCTTTACCTTTATAAGGTGATGGCCAGGTTGCTATTTAAAGTATTGATTAAGGTCTGAAGTGCTTTTGTTGAACTTCTGCGTTGAAATTCATTTTTGTACGCTGCCCTGGATACTAACCAGTTAACGAGGGCAGTTAACAAACTGAGTGAACAAATAAATGAATAAAGTAGGCTGGGAGATGTAGGGTTCGAACAGAGTTTGGGCAGAGCTGAATCCAAGCAATATAGTAAGGAAGGAGGGTATCAAGGCTAGACATGAACTCAAGCTGCAGCAACCAAAACGATAGGCAGCATCTCAGCCAATCAAAGTATGAGTATCGGATCATATAGGTCCAATATCAAGGCATTTGTGATAAGAATATTGGATCTTTATGTAGCATTTACAGGAGCCCTGCCCTGCCCTGCTGCAATTTGCTGCTCTAGAAGTGACAGTCTTTTCAATTAGAGGCCCCGACTGACTCTAGGCAATGATGGAGAACAGTTTCTTGCCCTTTGTTTCATGGGTCTTGTATTTGGGGAAATACCTTGTAAATTGACATCTGTTCAGCAAAGTTACCTCTTTCATTTCAGCCACTAAACCTGTACCCATCACACCACTGTACCCTTCTGAAGACGGCCAGAAAGCCAGTAATAATCTAGTAACCGTCACTGGCATATCTTTGTGTTTATCCATCATCTTTGCTACTGTCCTGATCGCCCTATGGAGGAAGCTTTGCAGGACCCAGAAGTGCAGCACCCCGGTGCGCTGCGACCCCACCCACTCGCCCAGCTTCCGGAAGAACTCCGACGAGGAGAACATCTGCCAAGATGAGAGACAGCAGCGAGAGAGCTTTTCTGAGGGAGAAGCTGCTTGTTCGCTTTCTGGAGAACCTCCAGATATGCCCTTGAGCTCCAGGAGAAGTCTTTATTTTGCTCCGGAAGGAGGAGGGGGAGGAGCTTCTGCTAGCGAAAGCTTTGAGTCCACAGCTCAGAAAATAATCCCCCCCATTTTCAGCTACCGCCTCGCACAACAGCAGCTGAAGGAAATGAAGAAGAGAGGCCTCACCGAAACAACCAAGGTCTATCGCGTTTCTCAGAACCCTTTGACAGACACGGTACTCGACAGCTCTGTGAGCACAGAGAACCAGGAGGCAGCAGCTGGAAGCAAGTTCAGAATCAAGTCTCCTTTTCTGGAGCAGCCCCCGGGCCACCCCATATCCTTAGGAGACAGGCACTGTTGCAGGGCGGATTTTACACTGCCTCAGGCCAGTCCTACCTTGAGCCCTTGTCAGTCCCTCATTAGAAGAGCTCATCCTAGATATCTCGAGAACCAAGCAGAGCCATCGGAGAGGGTCTGTCCAAGAAGTTCGCAGTTCAGAAGAACAGCCAGCTTTCACGAAACCAGAAAAGCCAAGCCGTTCCGGAAGAGAAGCATGTCCACCCTGACACCGTGCCAGACCCACCTCTACCGTGGCAGAGCCAGAACGTGGAGTCGTGTCCCGGAAGGAGAGCACCGGCCTAAATCTAAAAGCACCAGTGAGAGCGTTGAAGAGTTTGAGCTGTATTATAGTACTCCTTTAACCACTGAATCAATGGCCTATGGAACACACAACCCCCATAAATGGAAGCCCCCAGGGAAGAAACTAGACTCGGTCACCAGACGCCAACCAGTGGCCCAGGCACTGTGCGTTGATAGATCAGAGCAGAAGAGAAACGTAAGAGGGCCTTCCCTGGGCCGCGTGGATGCTTGGAAGAACGAATCTGCTGTGGTGGCTTTCAAAGATATGCACCAAAGAGGAGGTACTCTGAGCCCTACGCAGTACAGAAGGAGCAAGTGCCAGAGCTTCCCATCTGACCCTGAATACCACTTCTATGACAACACTTCTTTTGGTCTGGCTGAATTGGAACAGCAAACTATTGATCTGCCTGGGTATTTTGCGTCCGATGAAGGTGGTGGAATAAATACCTTAAGCATTGACCATTTGGTGCTCTGAGTGCCTTGCCGCCATCTTGTAGCAAGACAGAACCTGTGGGCTGATATGAATGGTGGTCAAAAATAAAACAAATGGGCTTTCTAAAAGCACCACCGGTCAAATTCCATCTCATAGCGGGGGGATGAGGCCCAGCTGTTGTTTTGTTTTGCATTTCTGCCCCTGCTTCCTCAACCACTTCAGAGCAGCAAGCGGGAAATGATGCCTTCACATGTATAAATAAGCTTCCACTAAATTATTCTGCACTGCAAAGCTCTGTGACTCAGTCATAGTTTGACCTCCGTGTTCAAAGTACCTCAGAGCTTTCTCGAAAACAAAACTTAGGACCTGATTCTCCATGCTGCTTTTCCCTGACATAGCTCTTCACAGGACTGAGTTGTGAGGATGCCAGTAGTCAGGGCTTTTTTCCAGCCGGAACTTGCCAGAACTCAGTTCCGGCACCTCTCAGGTGGGTGCCATTGCTATTTTAAGAGAACGAGGGAGGTGTTCATGGTGAGTTCCGGCACCTCTTTTTCTAGAATAATTGTGCTGCCAATAGTAGTTGACCCAGCCCCTCCTTCATGATTGTAGCAGCTACTGTCTTGTGAATCCATCCTCTCATTTGTCCACAGACCTTGTTAGTTGACTGGGAAGGTGTGGCGTTCGTATGGTTGTCTCACGGACTATTGACACGTACACCACTAATCCGCTGCCACCAACCAGGTCCTCCCTGGTAAGATCACTTCAGTCTCAGTCAGGTTTTCAATTAATAAAGAAGAGTGTATTTTATTTCAGACACAAACAAAACTTTTACAGCATTCCAAACGTTGTTGCTCTTTACTTTCTTAGTCTTATTTTCCTCTCTCTATCTCTTCTACCTCCCCTCACTCAAGAACCCACTGCCCTGTCTATTACCAACTGCTTCTCCAACTGCCTTTCCCCACCAGCCAACCCACTAAAACCAACCAACTACCCACCAACAACTCCCAACAAACTCCTTCCAGAACTGGTTTTATAGTCCCACTGACTCCACCCCCCTGGGTCCTGACTGGGCAACCTGTTTAACTATTTCATCTCCAGCACTCTCTCATATGTTAATCGTCACAGAAGGGTCTATGCATGGCATTGGCAAGATGACATCCATGCATCATAGTATTCTGTAGCCCATCAGATGAGACCAATCTCTTTAGGAAGCTGCCAGTCAGTCCATAGATTCATCTAGTTTAGCATTGCCTAGATCATCCCTCATCCTACCTAAGTTCCCATTACTACAAAACTTCTGGAGGGCATGAGCTTAGCGAGATCTGGTCCACACAAACCACGATATCATGGGTAGGCAAACTAAGGCCTGGGTCCCGGATCTGGCCCAATCACCTTGTAAATCTGGCCCGCGGATGGTCGGGAATCAGTGTGTTTTTACATGAGTAGAATGTGTCCTTTTATGTAAAATGCATCTCTGGGTTATTTGTGGGGCATTCCTGGTGTTTTTACATGAGTAGAATGTGTGCTTTTATTTAAAATGCATCTCTGGGTTATTTGTGGGGCATAGGAATTTGTTCATTTCCCCCAAAAAAATATAGTCTGGCCCCCCCCACAAGGTCTGAGGGACAGTGGACCGGCCCCCTGCTGAAAAAGTTTGCTGACCCCTGCACTACATCATGGCAGCTATACCCGTCTGATAGGCTTTCAGATCTTGCAAGGTGCCTGTCATAATTTCCATGACTAGCAACAAAGTGATCTTCTGCTTCAGGGAATAATGGCCTTTAAAAACATGGTTCTAAGGAGGTGAATCATTTCCATACCCAAAGAAGCTACCGCTCCATCAGTTCTACCCGGTTTACAATTTTGGGTTTGCTTTCGCACCTTGTGTCGTAATGACTGATTGTCTTATAAGTTTCTCCCTTCTGAGAGCCCTAACAATATACACGGAAGCAAAAAGGTTTATCGCTTTAATACAAATTTTAGACAAGGATGGAAATAAAGCAGCGTTTTATTTTTGTTGCATTGTATGTGATAGGCTGTCTTTTGTTACAGTGACATCTTTCCGCCTTCATTTCATCCAAAAATTTCTGCAAAGCAGTTAATCACATTCACATTTACTGGGAATTGTTTTCGCTGTGTCTTTGCATTTTAGCAGAAGCCTGAGACAGCTAGCCCCAAGACTATACTCAGCCCTCAGTGGCCTCATAGGCTTTTATTAGAATTGTAAAAGCACGTTTTCATTTACTCAATTTAAAAAAAAAGTATATGTGGAAATGTATAGTATGGCAAGTCTTCTGCTTTATTAGGCGTCAGTCAAGGCTCACCACTCCCCTCCCTTTGCCTTGAGAAATAAATCGGAGACAAAAGGCAAATTAAGAGGTGGGCTCAAATACAATATAGATGAACAGGATGTGCATCCTATAATCAGAGAAGGCTATGCCTAGTTACTGCCAACACAAGAACAAGGTTTTACCATTATAACAGAACTGCAGCTTCTCCCATACACTGGAAATGTTCTGGTGGGCTTTATACAGTGAACAAAAAATTGACTTACATTCTTGCAAGTTTGAACTTTTATCCCCCTACCCCTTTTCTGCCACTACCCCTTTTTCACAAAATGGTTCATTCTTTGCAGTAAATCAGAATATTGCAAATGTTTTGAGTTACAGAGGAAAAAACATGAATATGGAAAGAAAGGGCTTGCAGAATCCAGTTGTTTTCCCTAACAGGCTCCCAACCTAGGCATCTCACCTGGTTGCCAGTCTTTTCAAAACAAGGTGAGGGGGCTCCTTTTTCCTGGCCTTCCTTCCTTCCAAGGCCAGATTGACCCATACCTCCCATCTCTCAGCAATCCACCTCAGTTATTTCTAAACATGGGGAAATGTAACATGAAAACCACACCTTTGAGCATGGCTTATTTGCTGGAAGAACAGCAGAAGTGGCCCAGTTCCAGCTCCTGTCACTTGTTATAACAACAATAATAATTTGATTATTTATATCCCACCCATCTGGCTGGGTTTCCCCAAGCCACTCTGGACAGCCCCCAGCAAAATAGTAAAAACACGACAAAACATCAACATTAAAATTTTCCCTAAACAGGGCTCCCTTCAGATGTCTTCTAAAAGTCAGATAGTTGTTTATTTCCTTGACATCTGAAGGGAAGGTGTTCGACAGGGAAGGTGCCACTACCGAGAAGGCCCTCTGCCTAGTTATTGTTGTGAATAAGCTGACAGGCTGAAGACAGTATATATAAACCCCTCAAATCCGTCATATTTTTCTTTTCCTCAGGTGCATAGTTGGGGCGTATTAGTCGGCTTCTCCATCTCCACTCTCTCCATCCACAAAGGACGTAGGCCTGATTTTCATGGATGTGTGTTTCAGGGAATACCACAGCCCCCGCCATGTTGACCAAACCACTCCGTTGTCCAAGGGGCCAGAGTATTTCCCATTTCTGTGATATTGCCCGTTAAGATTTGCTGCATGGCATCTTGCGGAAGTGGAAGGGGGGGGGAGAGGTTGTTAAGTGCAAGAGAATGGCCCCAATGCATAAAGCTAAGAAGACTTTATTATGGAAATCTGAAATTAAGAGAATACCTTCTGCTCTTCTAAGCTAAGACCCAATTAAATTTATGATGTACTTTAAATACTTTGTTGACATGTTAGAAGTCCCCACTCAACTTGTCCTCTTACGTAAAACCCACAATTTCCTCCCATTGTAAGAACTATATAAAATGTGCTGTTTTTATATTTGTGCTGGCTCTGCTTGCATTTTCTTGACCAAATGCTCTTCCTATTTATTTTGATCATTTTGTGTATATGCCTCCTTTCCTCAAAGGATCTGAAAGTAGCACACATGGTCTCCCATCTCCATTTTGTCCTCACATCAGCTTTGTAAGTTACCGTATTTTTTGCTCTATAAGACACACTTTCCCCCTCCTAAAAAGTAAGGGGAAGTGTGTGAGCGTCTTACGGAGTGAATGCAGGCTGCGCAGCTTTCACTGAAGCCAAGAGAGCAAGAGGGATCCGTGCGCACCCATCCCTCTTGGTCTCCTGGCTTCAGGGATAGCCGCCCAAAGCCTCCTGAGCGCTCCTCCTCCTGTGCGCTGGAAGCTTTGCATTGCTTTCGCTGAAGCCAGGAAAGCAAGAGGGATCGGTGTGCACCGATCCCTCTTGGTCTCCTGGCTTTGCTTCACTGGAGAGGCGCTGCACAGCTTTCCCTCTCTGCGCAGCGCCCCTTCAGCGAAGCGGGAGAAGAAATGGAAGGGGCTCTGTTTCTCCTGCCGCTTCGCTGAAGGGGCACTAAACAGAGAGGGAAAGCTGCGCAGCGCCCCTTCAGCGAAGCGGGAGGAGAAACAGAGCCCCTTCCATTTCTCCTCCCACTTTGCTGGAGAGGCGCTAAGCAGAGAGGGAGAGAATATTTTTTTCTTGTTCTCCTCCTCTAAAATTAGGTGCGTCTTATGGTCGGGTAAGTCTTATAGAGCGAAAAATACGGTAAATTACGTTTGAGAGATGGTGACTGGTCCGAGGTCATCCCATGATCTTCATGGCTGAGTGAGTGGGGATTTTAATCCTGGCCTCCTTGGTTCTAGCCCAACACTCTTAACCGCCATACAACACTGGCATTCTACCAGTTAAGGGAAACATCTATGTTCAAGTTGGCAGGGGAAATAGTGAAAAGTTCAAAGCGGAAGTCACAGACTGATGGCAATTACTGTATCTGTTTATTAATTGATATTTAGTTAAAGCATGCTGCATTTCCCATGAGATTCATGCATTGCCAGGAGTTGAACTGGATAGCACTCATGGTCCCTTCGAACTCTACAAATCTGCAATTCTGTGATTTAAAAGTCTAAAAAGTTGGGTGAGGGCAAGGTGGAAAAGTAACTCAGAGCACTGCTCAGCTTAGTGGAGGAGAAGCAAATGCCATGTTCACACATACACACACACACACACACACCGTTTTAATGAAGGGTGAAAGCAGTGCTTTTTTTCCTGGGGGTACGCACACCCATAAACCTTTTGTGAATCTAAGTTTGGTCTCGTTGAGGGGCAGTATTTCAATATGAGTAGGAAAATGAGAGTGCCCCTAAACATTTTTTTAGAAGAAAAGCACTGGATGAAAGTATAATTCTCATGTAGTTTTTTAAACATGAATAACGTTTGTTGACATTTGCATCCCTTTAAGTAGCAGTCGTTTTTTCTAAAGATGTTGACATCTGTAGAGGTTTGTGTGGATTTATTCATTGTATTGGTCTCCTGCCTTTCTTCTAGAAGCTCAAGTTGGTATACATGGGTCTTCCCCACCTATTACACCCTTACAAACAACCCTGTGAGGTAGCTTAGGCTGGAAAGTGATGATTCCATATCTGAGTTGGGGATTTGGAACTGATATAACTCAGTACTGGCTTGCCAGAATTAGTAATACACATATTTATCTCTGACTCTGACAGACCGAGGAGATCCAGAGCAGATGCACAAGAGAGGAAGAACTGCTTAGACGTGGCAGGTCTTCATTTGGGTTTTCAGGGCTAGTTAAGTCATCCCTCAACTCACCTGTTAAACCACCAGCCACATCTGTTCTCTTCTGCACAGCTCCCTGTTAGGAACCTGTCATTGTCCCTGTCAGGAGCTGAGAACGGCATCCCATTGAGTGACGCAGACCACTGGCTCTCAAAGTTGCTCCCTCCGGACAAAGCGTCCCCAGCAGTCCCAGAAAAGGTGCCAAAGCCCATCTGGTAATTATTCTGCCGCAGAAACAAATGTTATTAGGTGTCAGGTATAGGTAGCCAGTTAACCCAAACTGCCAGTCAGCAGAATTGTTCATCTTTTCATCATGAAAGTCTCAAAGAACTTATCTGTTGTTTGTCTCCTCCATCTGGGATTCGGAGAAAAAGAGGCGACTGCGTTATAATCGCTCCAGCTTTTCTTTTTAAACAAACAACCTTTTTACACCTCTAATTTCTTAAGTGTTAACGTTCCCATCTCTAAAATGGGCAGATGTTTTCTGCACAACTTTTACACAGTTAATGCCTTCATGATACAATGCACATCATGGTGTAATGCATATCATATGTGGCTGGATTAATTTTCTGGTTTTACGTGTTCTGCACACACGGCATTTTCCTTCTTTCCAGTTGTGCACAGATTGTGTTGATCTGTGGTTGCTGGATATCATGTTTGTTGACTGGTAACAGGAGACGTGTAAAGGGACCCCTGACCATTAGGTCCAGTCGTGACCGACTCAGGGGTTGTGCGCTCATCTCGCTCTATAGGCCGAGGGAGCCGACATTTGTCTGCAGACAGCTTCCGGGTCATGTGGCCAGCATGACTAAGCCGCTTCTGGCAAACCAGAGCAGCACACGGAAACACCGTTTAATTTCCTGCCGGAGCGGTACCTATTTATCTACTTGCACTTTGACGTGCTTTCGAACTGCTAGGTTGGCAGGAGCAGGGACCGAGCAACGGGAGCTCACCCTGCTGCGGGGATTCGAACCGCTGACCTTCTGATTGGCAAATCCTAGGCTCTGTGGTTTAACCCACAGCGCCACCCACGTCCCTTTAGGAGACATGTAAATACATGCAATAGATGGGTGAGGACGGGGACATGATAGATGTTGACTTAATAAATAAGACTCTTGCTTTTAGTTTTCATATGTGTTCAAGCTCCCTGATTTGCAGCCAAAACTGAGTGATGCTGTCTTAAAATCTTCTGGTTCTTATATCCACGAGATCTTTAACTTAAATATGCATATTCTTCCCCAGCCTCTATCCTGCTCACCAGCAACTTATGTGCATTTAACTTGTGAGCATTTGGCTCTACACACTTCACAAATAAAATAAATTTCAGAAAGGGGCCAGGCATACTAGAAAAAAAGACTCTGGCAATCCCACCAGCCATTGAACCCAATGTGTTTTGACTCTATGCAATTTTGGTTTTAGGTTTGATCCCTAGATTGTAAACCCCACATATGTTGTGGGCTTACTGTCCACATGATAAACGTATTTTATGCTCCAATGACTCACACTCTCATTCTTGATCTGGAAATTATCATAAATTGCATATCGTCTCTTCCCATTCCAGTCCATCAGGTCAATTTTCAATGATTTTTCTCCTGCAACATAAACAGTGTCATGTTGAACTCCCTTGGGTCCAACACACAGTAAAAGGTAAAGGAACCCCTGACCGTTAGGTCCAGTTGTGGACGACTCTGGGCTTGCGGCGCTCATCTCGCTTTACTGGCCAAGGGAGCCGGCGTACAGCTTCTAGTCATGTGGCCAGCATGACTAAGCCGCTTCTGGCGAACCAGAGCAGCGCACGGAAACGCCGTTTACCTTCCCGCCAGAGCAGTACCTATTCATCTACTTGCACTTTGACGTGCTTTCGAACTGCTAGGTTGGCAGGAGCAGGGACCGAGCAACAGGAGCTCACCCCGTCGCAGGGATTCGAACCGCTGACCTTCTGATCAGCAGGTCCTAGGCTCTGTGGTTTAGACCACAGCGCCACCCGCGTCCCTGGTCCAACACACTGTATTGCGAATGAAATGCAAGGATTTATTGGTGCCTTCAGACTATATGCATGTCACATCATTGTAACCAAATTATATGCAGAGAGAAAACAGTGTGTTGGGTGCACCGTAATCAGGAAAACAGTCCAAGGAGAAGGCATTAAGAACCCCTCTTGCCCCATTCCATGCTTCAAAATAAAATTGGAGCCCACATGGCTGCACTAAAACTTTTTTGTTTGTTTTAAAGCCAACAAGAGACACTTAACGTACCTCTAGCATCACATCTAGCTCAAATACAATCTTTTGGGCTCTATCAAGATGGAAGAAAGCAGTGAAGAGATTGGAAGATCTTCCTCTCTTCATTGGCTGATAGGGGAAGTTAGTTTATTAGGGTTAAAATTATTTCATAGAGATGCATCTGGACAGAACGAAGATCCTTACCTTCAAGTAGTAGATCATGTATTTTATCATTACCCAGCCAATACTCATCACCCTTGCTCTGAAACTGTCCAAACCCTTCTTTGTAATCATCCCAATTTCTGCAAGGAGGAGAGACACACATGTCATGGTTGGCTATTCAGCTGTATCTGGAGGGTTCCAGGTTGGCTATCTAATGTGCTTTTCCAAAGCGTTACAAGGCATTAAGAGGCAACAAATTGACTTTGGTTCAACTCAAAACATTTGCACATACCTGTATGCAGTGCTATGAAGTTGTTACTTCCTGTATGACCTAACTGTATGACACTGCCTGTATGACCTAACATGGCGCACCATCCAATTTTGTAGGTCATGGTCTCCCCTATTCTCAGCAATAAGGAAACCGTTACATGACAGATAAGTGCTGGAAATGCAAAGAGGTGGACGGAACGTTCTTTCACATGTGGTGGACTTGTAAAAGGGTAAAAGAGTATTGGGAAATAATCCATAATGAATTGAAAAAAATGTTTAAAAGTACTTTTCCAAAAAAATGCCACATAGTCCTTTTTGTTGGAAATAATTCAGACTGAAATTCCCAGGTGTAAAAAAAATGTTATTTATGTATGCTACTACTGCGGCCCATGTTTTGTTAGCCCCAAAATGGAAAATGAGCCAGGTCCCAACCAAAGAAGAATGGCAACTTAAGTTGACAGAATATGCCCAGCTTGCAGACTTAACATAAAATAAGAGAACAAGAAGAACATAGGTTGGAATATATGGGAAACAACCGTGTGCACCTGAAAACGTTGGCAGCTTTAAGATAAATTCAACCGTGTAAATAAGTTTTGATGGATGCAATAATGGAATACTGAAGGGTTTAGTTTTTGTAAAATATGCAGGGATTTATGATATGCAAAATGTACCATGGAAAGAGAAGAAGGGAAGTCATGGATATTTTAAGGATGTTTAAATGAGTATTTTAAATTGTAAAACAGAAAATTTAATAAAAATTATTTAAAAAGGAAACCATTATGTGTGCTGTTAACTGCACTCAGTGACGCACCTGTAGAAATTCTCTTTTCCGTTTCTGCGCCGTTGGATCACAGTCCACCCTCCTCCGTCTGACATGTCACAGAAGGCAAGGAAAGGTTCTCTGTCTGCTCTGGGCTTAATTCGGTAGTATCCACTCTCCGTCTTTCCGCTGTTAAATACCATTGCACAATCTAAGCAAAGCAATGCAAGATGGAGAGGTAGGATGGCAACAAATTTAGTGCTGAAAACATGCAAACGCAAGAAGGGGACTGGCCGTAAAGAGCATGTCTATCTCAAAGATTCCTATCCATTCTTAAGGAAATCAGCCCTGAGTGCTCACTAGAAGGACAGATCCTGAAGCTGAGGCTCCAATACTTTGGCCACCTCATGAGAAGAGAAGACTCCCTGGAAAAGACCCTGATGTTGGGAAAGATGGAGGGCACAAGGAGAAGGGGATGACAGAGGACGAGATGGTTGGACAGTGTTCTCGAAGCTACAAACATGAGTCTGACCAAACTGTGGGAGGCAGTGGAAGACAGGAGTGCCTGGCATGCTCTGGTCCAGGGGGTCACGAAGAGTCAGACACGACTAAATGACTAAACAACAACAATCTCAAAGATTAAAGAAAATACTCAAGCCTTTCAGAAGAACAGACCTTGCCACAGATTTTATCTACCTTGGTTATAGACTAAGAGACTTCCACTCGCCGAGGGCAAAAGCATGTCCAGCTGTGTGGTCCTCATGGCAGAGAAAACCTTGCTCTTTTGCCTGTGGTAGTTGTTCCCCAGGAGGTCTTTCAGCTGCAGTGCATATAGCTGGGATAAATCTTGGAGTGTTTTTAGCTTCTGCTGTAGTTTGCCGTTTTCTGCCAGGCAGTCATCCCTTTCCTGAAAGTGAGAAGGAAATTGCCATTCCCTTTTATGCAACTACAGTCAGGGTAAGTTGGAAGGTATTGTAGACCTGAGCTACTTTCAGACCTTTCCCATTGGCTGAGTCTGCGTTGCTCCTGGGAGGGAGGGAGGGAGGAGCCAGACACCGAGGTTGGTTCAGAGAAAGAGTTTTTTATTTCTGCTTTCCGGAGCAGCAGAAAGGCACTGCGTGATTGGTCACAGCAAGCACACTAAAGAGCAGAAACATACAACCTATATTCCCTTAGGTCCCCCTTTCCCCCTCCCCAGGAATCCAGCCTCGTGAGTTTGTGCATGTAAGTTTGCATCCTTGAGCATGCATGAGTAGAAACTGTTTCTGTACTCTCATCTGGCACTCCTGGCGCCATTCCCAGGATCTGTGCGTCAGCTCGGTCAGGATAGTTACAACCGGTAAGATAAGTTGGATGTGCCATCCTGTCTCTACTCGGGACTGACAAGGCCATCTATTACACCTTCATGGACTGATAAAGGAGAAGGCTTTGTTTATTCAGCTGGTTTGTGTTATACAGCTCAAGCTAATGAATCCTTAAAGAAAGAATTTGGGAAGTTTGGGGCCTAGTAGTTGGGGTGACTACACAGTCAGGTTTGGGTAACCTGTCCCTTCAGTATTGGTTGTTGTCAGTGCCAGATTTACATATAAGCTAAACAAGTTATAGCTTAGGGCCCCACTTTATTGGGGGGCCCCAAAAAAATTGAAAGGAAAATGCGATGTATATTTCCAAAATGTAAAAAACAAAACAAACAAAACCTACATACAGGAACAGTGTTTTGTGTTGTGCAGGCACCTATGATGTAAGTCATGGGCCCCGCCTGCTAGCCTGCTCCCTAAAATATCGCTGGTTTGCTCATTTCTATATATAGGGTGCCTACATTCTGCGTGGACTGGTTACATGGCAACATGTGCAAATGGCTTTAGATACCTATTAGGTCCATAAATTACCATATGGCACATATTCAACACGAAAAACAGCGACAATTTGTTGTTGACAAAGGACAGCTGGACATATAAAGGGCCCCGTTACCTTCAGTAGCTTAGGGCCTCATCAAACCTAAATCTGCCCCTGCTTGTTGTGTTCTATAGTTTTCCCCGTATATTTCTCAGGGTGGTCGCGGTGGGGGAGATTTCTCAGGGTTGTCCTCCTTATAGGGAGAAAGTTTGCAGTCCAAATTTCACTGCACAACACAGGGTCCAGGGTGCTGGGTTTATACCAGTAACAACACCTTGAACAAACAGGCAGCCAGTGTGACTCTCCAAGGATCTGCCATATACAATCCTGCCTTAAAATTAAAAGCCTGGCAGCTGTATTTTACACCCTCTGCAGCTTCTATACTGTCTTCAAGGGTATCCCTGCATAGATAGCATTGCCGTACTGCAGTCATGAGGTTAATACAGGTGTGGATAACTGTGGCCAGGCTATTCACGTCCAGGAGTGGCTGTAGCTGGTGAACTAGCCAGAGCCAGAAAAAAAAGATATGAACCCAACGGCTGTAAATGTTGTCGTGAAGAGTGGCAAGTTCACAGTGTTTATTTAGGATTTGCTTTGATTTTGGCCTTATCTTTGTTCTCTGCTGTGTCTTACCACTCCTTTGTAGATTTTAAAAGTGTTGATCCGACAAGTTTTGTACATCTTTTTCTGGATGCTGCCTTGCGATGGATTTTGTCTTGGAAGGTGCAATATCAACATTCTAATAAGTAAAAAAATACATACCAGAAGCCGAGGTGCAGGAGAACAAAAGGGTTTCAGGAGTAGCAGCAGCAGCAGCCACCGAATCATCATCGCATTCATTTTATAGAGCTGGAGGGGGAAAGGGCATCTTGTTTTATGCTATGACAATCATGTGTCGTCTATTCCTTCCCTATTGCCATTACAGTGGTACCTCGGGTTAAGTACTTAATTCGTTCCAGATGTCCGTTCTTAACCTGAAACTGTTCTTAACCTGAAGCACCACTTTAGCTAATGGGGCTGCCTGCTGCCGCAGTGCAATTTCTGTTCTCATCCTGAAGCAAAGTTCTTAACCCGAGGTACTATTTCTGGGTTAGTGGAGTCTGTAAACTGAAGCGTATCTAACCCGAGGTACCACTGTATACTTTTTTTCTGAAGCAATATGCGAACTGAAACACAGCTATCCTTCAAAATGCACACCTACCCAAATTTTGTGTTGGAATTCCCAAAGCAATGTTTACAAAAAACAGGTATAATAGAGGTATTAGTGAAAATAACAGTTAAGAAATGCATTATATTATGGGAAATTGCTTGCAAAAAGGAGTATGTTAAGTAAAAAGTGTATACTGTTCAAAACTGACAAAAATGCAAATGGTTTTCACGAGGATTTTTCTTTGTTTAAAAAAGTAAACGGCTGCAAAATGTGGAAAGTTTAATTTAAGACTGCCAAAAAAACAAAAAACAAAAACCCCTGAGAAGCCAAAATTAACAAATAATTGCATCCCTACCTGGGACTAAGCCCAATTGAATTCAATACGACCTGCTTCTGTTTAGACTTAATTCACTTAGGCTGCAAATTCTAAGTACCGTATTTTTTGCTCCATAAGACTCACTTTTTTCCTCCTAAAAAGTAAGGTGATATGTGTGTGCGTCTTATGGAGCGAATGCAGGCTGCACAGCTATCCTAGAAGCCAGAACAGCAAGAGGGATTGCTGCTTTCACTGCGCAGCGATCCCTCTTGCTCTTCTGGCTTCTGAGATTCAGAATATGTTTTTTCTTGTTTTCCTCCTCCCAAAATTAGGTGCATCTTGTGGTCTGGTGCGTCCTATAGAGCGGAAAATACGGTATCTAACACTTGATTGCAAATGTGTGCGTCCTATGCACCCTACATTTTTAGGTGTACAGCAAAAGTAAAGTGGGAACTAGCCCTACAAGGATAGAGGTGAAAGTGAAGGCAACAAGGAGAGAGTGAAGGAAGTTCTTTCTGTTGTAAAGAAAAAAACACAGTTGTCACAACAAACTAAGAACATTTTGTTCTTTTTGAAAGGGCCCCTGAGATTCTGGAAACCCTGGACTGAGCATCTGCCAAATACACTCCCTCTTCTAGGAATAGGCAAGCCTCAGTCTATTGCTAGTTCCTTCCCAACTATTTTATAATAACGGCTAATTTGTATTAGTTCAGGACAAAACTTCTAGCATTCACACTCATTCCTCTGGCTGCAATGTGGGTTAATAAAATATGTCCCACCCCCCATTAAAAAGTTTTAATCAAAAGTCCTAGTCACATGGGCGTGCCTGGAGGGGGGCAGGCTGGCAGTTGCCGCTCCCCAAGATCCACAAAAATTAGAAAAAAGCATTTAAAGTACTCAATTAACTGAGATTCCCTCCCCCCCCCGAAGTCTGCCCCCCCCAAAGCTCAACAACTTTGGCTGTCCCTCCCTGCTTACAAAAATCCTGGCTACACGCATGCCTCATCAGCTCAGGGGGTTAAAAGCTTAAGAAAAACAGCAATTTCACTGACCTCAGAACCGAGTGTGAAGTTAAAAGGACACTCTTCTCTGGATTCCGCTAAAAAAAATAGGTCTAGAAGGTTGGAAATAGTAAAATATGCAAGGAGTAGCCTGCTATCTGGTATGAGTTTAAGAACAAAACATCAGATAGTAGTTTTCAATGAATTAAAATAACATAAAAATGAAATAAAGCAAGATGTAAATTAAACCAATTTGGATTTAGGCAAAGTATCTTAATTTAGAGATTAGAGGAGTTTGGCAATAACGCAAGGTGTCCAGGGAGAACATAAAATCTTCTTTTGTAAACAATTATCACAGATGTTTTAGATATGGAGCATCCTGATTGACTTAAACCAGAGTCCTAGACTAAGTAATTCTGATGGATGCATGCGGAAAATATCAAACTAGAGATCCCAGTATTCTTACTCCAACACCTTAATGCCAACGGCACTGGAACTCTGGTTCCACTAGGAAATCTCACAGGTTTAGTCTTATGCTCCCAGAGTACCACCAGAATATTGCAGTACCAGCCTATCTCAACAGTCAACTGACTTCAAGGGCCAATGCCTGTGAACCAGAGCCTAAAAAGCCTTAGGCTCAGAGCTTGCTCCTCTTTGTGAACCACATATCTCTGGAGAAGGGAGGCTGTTAAACTCCTCTTTGTAAGGGCAGTGATTTTCCCAATTTGCTCTGAGAGCCTTTTTTTTGCTAAAGGGGAAGGGCATAAATGCCCTAAATCAGGCATAGGCAAACTCGGCCCTCCAGATGTTTTGGGACTACAACTCCCATCATCCCTGATCACTGGTCCTGCTAGCTAGGGATGATGGGAGTTGTAGTCCCAAAACATCTGGAGGGCCGGATTTGCCTATGCCTGCCTTAAATAAATAAAGCACTGGCCCCTCCAGATGTCCTTTTTGTTGTGCATTCATGAGGACTTGTTGTGATGGTCTGCTTTTAATACTGTTTGTGATTGCAAACTGTTGGGCTGGCCACACAGCTCCATTCCTCATTGGTACATGTCCCATAGCTTCCTGCACAAATCCTGTAAATTTCCGTACCATAGATATTCCACACACAACCCCCCCCCCTTATATAAGGGTCTGGTGACTTCTGTTTCAGTGTATCTGAAGAAGTGTGCATGCACACGAAAGCTTATACAGTGGTACCTCGGGTTACCTACGCTTCAGGTTACAGACGCTTCAGGTCACAGACTCCGCTAACGCAGAAATATTACCTCAGGTTAAGAACTTTGCTTCATGATGAGAACAGAAATTGTGCTCCGGTGGCACAGCAGCAGTGGGAGGCCCCATTAGCTAAAGGGGTGCTTCAGGTTAAGAACAGTTTCTGGTTAAGAACAGACCTCTGGAACGAATTAAGTACTTAACCCGAGGTACCACTGTACCAAGAACAAACTTAGTTGGTCTCTAAGGTGCTACTGGACATTTAAAAAAAAAAATATTTATTTCGACTGCGTCAGACTACCTACCTGAATCTACACCACACATGCTTTTGTTGCACTATAGCAACTTTTTTCAGCTGTGGGCCGGTCCACCATCCCTCAGACCATGTGCTGGACTGGACTATATATTGGGGGGGGGGCATGAACGAATACCTATGCCCCACAAATAACCCAAAGATGCATTTTAAATAAAAGCACACATTCTACTCATGTAAAAACACCAGGCAGGCCCCACAAATAACCCAGAGATGCATTTTAAATAAAAGGACACATTCTACTCATGTAAAAACACTCTGATTCCTGGATCATCCGCGGGCTAGATTTAGAAGGCGATTGGGCCGCATCCGGCCCCCGGGCCTTAGTTTGCCTACCCCTGCACTATAGCAAGAATGTGAAAGCACAGGGGAAGCGTAACAGAACAATGAATAAAGCAGAACGGTGCATGGTTGGTTCTGTATAAATCCACCACTAAATCACTAACATAGTGTCAATTTCATGTTCCAAAAATATGTCGGGGAGGAACCCACTCGTCTGAAGGGTCTCATAAATAATGTCAGTGCAGCACCATAACAGAGGGAGCCACATTTAACAAGTGTTTGCCATTACGTGAAGCTTAACAAGATTTAAGGCAATAAACCTTGGCTGGGAAGGAAGTTGTGGGAGGGAGGGGGTTGAATTAACAGATGATGGAAAGATAAAATACCTGTCTGCTGCTTCTCTGCTACAGATTACGTCCTTCTCGCCTGTCGCTGCTTTAGCTCTCTTCAGTAGAAATCAAGAGCTGCCAGAGCTGGGTCTGCTGCCGACCGTATAGTTTGGTCCTCAAGGATAGCTGCAAGAGGGATACATGTTGAATCAGAGAATAGTAGATTTGGAAGGGACCTCGAGGGTCATCTAGTCAAATCCCCTGCAATGCTGGAACTTCAACACACAGTACCCCATCCAACTTGAAACTGGACCAGGCTCTACTTAGCTTTGCAAACGAGCTAGCAGTTTTAGGAGAACTTGCACCCCGGTTTCCTAATACAGTGGTACCTCAGGTTACATACGCTTCAGGTTACAGACTCTGCTAACCCAGAAATAGTACCTCGGGTTAAGAACTTTGCTGCAGGATGAGAACAGAAATCGTGCTCCGGTGGCACAGCAGCAGCGGGAGACCCCATTAGCTAAAGTGGTGCTTCAGGTTAAGAACAGTTTCAGGTTAAGAACGGACCTCCGGAACGAATTAAGTACTTAACCCGAGGTACCACTGTAGTGACAACAACAAAAATGCAGGGAAAAAATTCAGGAAAGCTTCAGGTTTGTGTTTCCCCCATCACTTCCATTAATGTCTAAAGAATGCAATCATTAAAGAGCTAAAACTAACACTGAATTGTTGCAGGGGTGTGTGTGTGTGTGTGTGTGTGTGTGTAAAATGCAGCAGAAGGCTTTAAGTGAAAAATATAAACTTACCTCATTCGTTATAGTCGGATGCATCAAAGCACCCGATAGTCTGGATCTGCATGACAAGAATTTTGCTTTCTAAGCCTCAGTAGAGACAGCAACTTTAAAAATGTAACTGCAGAAAAATATATCCCTAAGAAAACAACCCCAAATGTCTTGAAAGACCTACAAAGGAACACTTGGAGCTCCCTCTGCTGACTGTAAAGTACTTTAAGAATCCAAACCACTCTTATTTTCTGAATCCTTGAGTTGAAATGTTAGGAAGGAAGATTATTTATTTGATGATGACAACAGAAAAGTAATTTAAAATACTGATATGGCACAGAGGAACAGATTTCTTGAGAGAACCCTTACTGTGAAAATGAGAGAGTTGCAACGTTGCAACACTGAAAAAGGTACTATGATGCATATATGGTGGAATTGTTTAAACATCAAACAATTTTGGGAAACAATATACAATGAAATGAAAAAAATGTTCAGATATTCATTTAGGAAAACATCAGAAGGTTTTCTATTGGGAATAGTATCAGGAAGTCTAAAGGAAGAAGACAAGACATTATATTTATACGCAACAGTAGCCGCAAGGCTATTGATTGCGAAAAAATGGAAAAGTGGTATTATACCGACAAAAACAGAGTGGCTTGCCAAATTATTGGAGTATTACAATATATCCAAAACAATGGGAGAAATTGGAAGGATCTCAAAAGGGAAGATAAACAAGGACTGGAAGGTGTTTAAAGGATACTTGCAAAATTATATTGGAAAAATCAGAACTCCTATTAGAATAAACAAGTTCCGTTAAAAATACTGAAATACTAAATAAGATGGATAACAATGTGTAACAGAAAAAAGAAGCAGAAAATTGGTTTAAAAGTATGTGAAAGAAAGTAATAGAAGTGGAAAGAAATTGCAATTGAGTAGATTGGAAGTCTAACACAAGGGTGGGGTGAGGGGTGAGGGATGGTGATGGGAAAACGAAGTATCTGTGGGACTGAGTGTAGGTATGTCTGAATATTCTTAAGGATTGTATGAAATGTACCGGTATGTTTGTATATTCGTAACATGTATGGATTAATGCTGAATTATTTTAATAATAAAAAAATTAAAAAATTAAAAAAAGAAAATGACAGAGAAAACTGCTTCAAAGCAAATAGGGAAATGCTAATATCATTTGACTCATCGTGGCTAATACACAAAGCCGCTGATAATGCACACCCAAAATCTGATTGGAGAAATTGGGGGGGACGGGACAAACACAAATGATTGAGTACTTAAGAGCATCTTTCCATACCCTCCAACCTTTCTCCGATGAAAATAGGGACATCCCAAGGAACAGGAAACCAGAAACCAGGACAGCTTCTGTGAATCCAAGACTGTCCCTGGAAAATAGGGACACTTGGAGGGTCAGTTTTCCTACACAGTAGTAACTGAGTAGTAACTGAGACTCCCAGCCTGTGTGTGTGTGTGTATGTGTTTATGCAAATATTCATGGGGTGTGTGTGCCAAACTGGGTCTTTGGCCCAGGTAAAAGAAAGCCTAATTTCACCCCTGGTTCCACCAATTCTGGTTTTGCCATGCCTGCTGAGTTTTAAAAGGGGCGACACTGATGTTAAGTTGTGGGCGAACATATCAGACAACACAGCGATTCTTCAAACAGCTCTTGTTTATTCCAAGGCCAGAACAGAACTGAACTGAGGAGCTCAGTCAGCCTGCTTATATAGAGCTCCAGAACAACGTAACTGTTGCAACTTTCTAAAACTATCCAATCACTGAACGTCACTTTCGATCCTTCATTTGCATACAAACTATCCAATCACTGAACATCACTTTTGATCCTTCATTTGCATAACTATCTACAGTATCCCCCTGCTGGCCCAGGGTGAAAACATCAGTACATAACAACTGAGACTAAAGAGGAGGAAGCTGTCAGGCAGTAAGTACGTAAGTAAAAAGGAAGGCAGGTGGAGGCTGGCTGAGACAAGACGGCTTGAGCATTCAGTATTACAATGAACCTGGCCCAACTGCACTGGCTGCCAATCAGGTTTCCAGGCCCAATTCAAAGTGCTGGTTTTGACCTATAAAGCCTTAAGCAGCTCAGGATCGCAATACCTCAAATGTCTGGGTTGTGTATACAGTGGTACCTCAGGTTGAGAACTTAATTCGTTCCGGAGGTCCGTTCTTAACCTGAGCTACCGCTTTAGCTAATGGGGCGTCCTGCTGCCGCCACGCAATTTCTGTTCTCATCCTGAAGCAAAGTTCTTAACCCGAGGTACTATTTCTGGGTTAGCGGAGTATGTAACCTGAAGTGTATGTAACCCGAGGTACCACTGTATGTGCAAGCAAACCATCTATCATAAAGACACTCCAGTCTTGTCTCTTTTCCAAAAGGAAACAGACGCTGGATAAGCGCACCTGGAACCCTGGGAATCTGGCATCACTCAGAGACTGAATTGGCCTGTCAAAACAATGGCAACTGCAGACAACCAGGGTTTCCCTAAAACTGGGTTTCCAGCTGTTTTTGGACTCCAATTCCCATCATCCCTGAGCGCTGGTCCTGCTAGCTAGGGATGATGGGAGTCGTAGTCCAACAGCAGCTGGAGACCCAAGCTTGAGAAAGCCTGACCTACAAGGCCGCAGGCTTTGCTCCAGGCGACCAGGAGGCCGCTTCCAAAGCGCTGGCCCTTTGGCAATGCGGACGCGGCCTTATCGCGCGCCAAGGAGCAGCAACAGCAGCAGCAGCAGCAGCAGCTCCGGGATAATGGTGACCTCTGGGTGGCCCTGGCAACGGCGTTCCAGGGCCAGGCAGGCTGGAACCAGGCGCGGTTGACTGCGCCCCCCGCCGGCTGACCGGACGCGCCGCCGCCCCCCCCCGGCCCCACAAATCAGGCGCGAATCTGGATCAGGTGGAGGCTCCGCCAGGCCGGCATGAAGCTGCGCTTGGCAACGCCCGGCTCTCCCCGCCGCCGCCGCCGGCCGCTCGGCGGGTTCCCTCTAGCCTTGAGGCGGAGTGCAGGGAGCTTTTAGCGCGGCGCCGGAGAGACTCGCGGGAGGCGAGAGGTGAGGCGGCCTCTCCAAACGCGCGGCGCTCTTTGCGCCTCGGTTTTGGAGGAGAGCCGAGGGATTCCTCCCCGGCGGCTGAAAGAGGGGCTTTTGTCCCCCCGCGCTTTCTTTTCTCCCGGTTCCAGGTCACTCGACCCACAATAGGACGCCTTTAGTCTCCTTGCCAAACGCGCTCGGGCAACTTTTCAGGCGTGCGTAAAAACGGGGAAAGCTTTTTCTCTCGCTTCCCTCCTCCCCACCGGTCCCATTTCCTTCTCCCTCCCTCTCCCAACCACCTACCTGCTTGTCACGAGTTTCGACCCCCCCTTCCCCTTGGAAGGGTTTCATTTTTGGAGCTGAGCTTGTCCCCTGCTGAGGTAAATGACTTATTGCTCTGCTTCGACCCGGGGGGGTGGGATGGGAAAGCAAACCAAACCTGCGTTAACTATGCAGAGGCAGGATTTACCAGGTGGGGAGAGAAGCCCCTGTCGTGACTTTCAGGCGTTTGGAAGCACGGACACAGCCCACCCAAAAAAAAAAACACCTTGTGAAAATGATCCCTTCGCGAGGGCAAGGAGTAATCGGGGTGGAGATGAGCCGAAAGTCCCAATGAAATGATTTCTTGAAGGGGGAGGATATACGAAGAAAGGGCTGGTTCTCACAGGGACGTGGGTAGGAGAAGGACGCCCCCAAAGGTTGCAGTTTTCCCTCTGTCCTGAGTGGGTTTTAGGGGAGCCTTGACAAAGCCAACGTTGGCATGGAAAGAGGAGGCTTAACTTGGGTCTGTGTTCATGTGCAAAATCTATCGCCATTGTCATTAAGGGGGGGGGAGGTGAAACTCCCCTAAAAAGGTTTGAACTACTACAGCCACCTGTATGCAAGTCAGTGCCAACATCGCAAGCATCTCTGGTGCAATTCGGTGCTTTGTTTAAGCAAGGGAGGAGGTTGGAAGGGCGGTGAGCATAGCCTCTGGTCTGAAATATTAAAGAGGGAAAGGCGCTGTAAGATTGTTGTAAAAGCCAGTAGTCTTCAATTAAAACAAAAAAAATTCCTTCCAGTAGCACCTTAAAGACCAACTAAGTTAGTTCTTGGTATGAGCACACGAAAGCTCATACCAAGAACTAACTTAGTTGGTCTTTAAGGTGCTACTGGAAGGAATTTTTTTTGTTTTGACTATGGCAGACCAACACGGCTACCTATCTGTAACTAGTCTTCAATTAGACATTGAACCCACGTTTAACCCAAGTGTGCAGTTGAAGACTCATTTTTTTAAAAGAACAACAACAACAAATCAAATATTTGTACGCTGTTGCAACCCACCTTGGATTGGGCTGTGACCTAGTAGTGGTCACCCACCCACCAGTTGAAGACCCAGTTCACGTCAGCTTATTCTCTCAGCACCTCCTGCCTACCTGCTATAGGGATAAGATGGTTCCGTATACTGCAGGGATTCTTGAAAATGTGGGGATAGAAGCAGTGGTTGTTGTAAGCTACTCTTTCAGCTTTAGACATGCCCAGGGCTGCAATACTTTCCAAAGGTTGTTGTAAAACACTTTCAAAGGTTGTTGTAAAACACCTGACCTGCAGTATTCAGTGTCCACTATATTGCAGGGCTGCTGCAAGTTACTCTCTTCCAGCAACAGCCCCATCCAGCAATTTGGGGATAGTAGACTGTTTTTGCTTTGTAATTTGCTTTAGCAGGTTGGTTTTTTTAAAAAAAATTAGTGTATTAGGATTTTCTGTTGCATCAGCAGGTCCTCTTCCAATTCGGACTTACCGAGTTTCTCTACCCTTCCCCAACAACCCCAAATTTGCCCTTATATTTTTGGGGGTGGGGTATATGGACTCACTTGCTCCCAACTACAGCTTGTTATTTTTCCTTTGGCTTTCTCCTGTCTTCCATCTCTGGGTGAGACCCAGGAAGTGACCTGCCCGGAATGAGGTGGTTATTATTATTTTAAATAAAAAACCATATATGCACATTTGCATGTTATCTGCCTCTCTCAACCAGTTGTCTGTTACTCCTCCCAACTCAGCCAGCTAACATTCTGTGCCATTGAGTTGTTATGTTTGGGGCTTTCTTTCCCCCAAAATATATTTTGTGCATCTG